TGTTTTTCCATTGTGTATGTTGATATTTATTATTGCTGAGTTTGGTACTACATTGTTTGTCTTTTCCTCCATTTATTCCTGTGTACGGGATAAAAGAGCTAGATCATTTTTGAAGTTCTATTCATGTAGCTGCGTTCTGTCTGTTCATTTTATCCTGTGATTTCATAATGCATCACAAAATTACAATTGATTGATCATTGGGTGGCGATCAATGTCATGCGTGTCTAGTCCTTATTATTAGTGCAGATCGAATGCTATCGACCATGTTGCAATGTGACCACCAGCCTAGGTGGTTCGACACTGTGTGCACTATTCCTGTTAACTAACTCCAACCACCGTCTAACATCACGAAATTCTTTAAATTAACAGTGAAAGTATGAACTGTTACAGTAGATGATTGCAATGAACAAACAAATTAAGTTCAACATAAAAATGTACTAAATACATGAATGTTCAAGATGAAATTCTGAAAGTTCCCATGTTCAAAACTGCAATTGTTTTTTTACAACAAAAGCAATGAAATCCATCGTTTGATCCTTAAACAACAATATAATGTCTTAAATGTAACACTATAAGTTGTGTGTTAACGTAGATATAAACTCACAATGAAAAAGTAAACAAACAACTAATATACACAAAACTTCATAAGATTTACTTCACTAATGAAATCATATTGAAATATGACATTGTTATCATTTATTGAGACCATTACTAGATACGTCATAAAAGATGATCAACTAATGTAGAAAATACTAATCAATCGTTATATCATCTGTAGGATGGAAAGTAAACGTTTAGGCTTAATTTGTAGTATCGGTTACACTATGTTAAACCTTTATATAATGTATTCTAGCTTCTGAACACGTTAATTTATCCATTCTATTTGAGTCACATTTTGACCTTGTTAATGATTTACTTATCAAACCTGACTGTTTTTATATGAGCGTATACACATACGTGTGTGTGTACAACTTATCCTACTCATCATATATATCTGTAGCTTATTTTTGTGCGACTATAAGTATCGATTCATACTTGATTAAATAGAAGTTAGCTCACACGACTTCTCAACTGCGCGTCATTTTTACTTCTCTCTCTTCTATTCACATTGTCCCTTTGATTGTCTGTCCAGATCAATGATTGTACAAAATATATGTATTCGAAATCCTTTCTAGTATTTGGCTTATTTAATACTGCTACTCACTAACGCGATCTAAGTCGATGATTGTATAAGAGGAATGGCAGTATATTGTATATCTCAATAACAATCAGAAACGATCTCATTGAAGTGAGATCTTGGGCCACTAAAGACTGAACATTGAACAAAAAATTTAACTAGTAGGACTAACAAAGAACAATTAATTATCTAAATGTAAATACAACACTTACAGAGTTATAGTATTTTTAACTGATTAATGAAGTATGACAATAGTGCCCATAATACTTAACTATTTATAATAAACCATAATTCTTTGTAATTTAATTTGTAGTTGTTTAAATTGACTCGTCATTGATATTTTGAGCGGGCTTTCGATCAACATTATAGTTGGCATATGTGCATCCTATACAGATTATCTTAATATAACCATTATTTCACAATTTTTATATGTGGTGTATGGTAGTGAAGGTGAAATATTATTGGTCACTAAGTGTGAACAAACAGGCACTTAGCCTACTGACCATTAAATATGTGATTTCCTTTCCTCTCATTGATTTCTACTGCTAGAAATAGTGTTGAATAAAGTATTATCTAGTGTTAATTTAGTTCTCTATTCTAGGTCTTGAATTCTAAATCTGATATAAAGTGACTAGTCTCATTATTGTATTGACGTATTATTGTAGTATACTGCAGAACGAAGAAAACATTTCGGACCATCTGTTATAGTTAAGAAGAATAGATAGAACGTGGCTAGATGTATAATCCAGGACACGCGTCTGATCCTGTTTTCGATTTGTCAGCTGGATGTACATGTATCCTAGATTTAATGTTCAACCTGAGATTTAAATCCAGTGCCATTCGTTTCAAACTCCACTTTATTTAGTCAACTACTGAGTTCAGAGAGCCACTTACTTGTGCACTAGATATGAAGTTCAATTCACTTTGTGGTGGTTTTCGCCTGCTTCAATAGGCATATCCTGAAGTTCTAGTGAGAAGTAGTGACCAGTGTAGTTCAACCGGGTCTTTTGTGAGATGGTAACTCACTGATGACAGTGGTGGATGTGTCACTCAATTTCGTGGATTAGTTGAAGTTAGACATTAACACCGTTGAGTACTGACCGGCTCAGTGGTCTAGTGGTTAAGCGTTCACGCGCGACACTGATACGTCCTGGGTTCGAGTCTCGCGAAGTGGGATCGCGGATGCGCACTGATGAGGAGTCCCCCAATAGAACGAAATGGCCGTCCAGTTCTTCCAAGTTTTCCATGGTGACCTAGCTCCAACTGATACATGATCTCAACTATTAATTTTTTAGTTCAAGAAGCTTTCTTCAATTTTTTCAGAAAGTTACTTGCTATTGTTGGTAAGATAACTAGTCTTAAAACCACTCTATCGTTTTCCAGTAAAAAAAATATTCTTTTGAACGTCAACTACATTTCTTCTACACAAATTTGAATCTTAGACATCCATCATTATTTTTCATTTCATTAATTATATGCTTAAATAAAATTCCATCTACTGATGGAGACGATTACAGGTAATCTGACTTATAAATAATCATTTCCAGTATAAAGTTTTTTTTCTTTAAAAATATAAGGCTTTTAGCTCAGTGACACAAAGAGGTTAACTTCTTGATGATGGGTGGTGATTATGATCTGACTGGCCATTGGGTGCGAACAGACAGAAATTCAATTTGATACCTACGATTATTTTCTACTTTATACTCACTAAGTGTAGACTGCTGGTAACGGTGTTTGGTGAAGTATCTAGCTCATACTCTGTTAGTTTGTTTTTGGTCAAATGTGTATCTCATCTATGATGTAATCTTTGTAAAGTTTATCGATCAATGATCTAGTATAGTGGTAATATTATCTGGGTCACCGGTCTTATCAACGTGATAGCGATATCATTGGAACTGAGAATAGTCTTATCTTACTGTGATGTCACAGCCCTACAACAATTCGTGATATATATTACGCTAGTTTTAAAGTTATTATGAATTTAGCTGAAAAAACTATTTACCTTTTATACTTCATTAATAAGAACACATTTTGATTATGTAGAACCAAAAGCTGATAATGTTATCTAAAGTAACCATGATAACTACAAAATCCAACCACCTCTTTTAGACAAATCAACTCACACATCAGTATCCATCTAGGCCACAAATCTTTTCTACCACTTCAGTTTTAGATCATTTAATAATATCATTTTCATGTCGAGCGGTAAGTACCAAGTCTATCAGAGTATCGCCTTTATTTTGAGGAATTTGTTTATCTGTGGTAATTTTTTGTCATTCGATAAACGCAAAATCTTTGGAAATTCAGGGTAAAGATAACGAATCAGCCGATAAGACTGTAAATCTTTATCGATTGAGATGATTGTGACATGTATTACGCATGAACAACCAATGACTAAATTTATGCACTGGTGTAGTGGGTTGAAAGGTAGGAGGAAGCGAACTAAAATGTGACGTCACATTATGAAGTTACCAACTAATGATTTGAGTCATCTTGTTAAGTCCAAACCACCTCATTGCGGTTCGCGCAATTACTGTGCCCACTGGTCGAACACTTTGGGTGATATGTTTTAGAACCGGTTGCAGTAGCTCAGACGCATCCACTCCTTATATTTAGTTAGATTCAGAATTTTGGAATTATTTTATAACTTTCACACCACAAACTTATTCATTCCTCCTAAATTATATTATTCATGCTTTATCTTTCTTACTATGACTGATACAATTTTTTATTTGGTGTTCATCGTAATAACTTCATTTAGCTGTACTGATATGGTGTGATAGCCCAATTTGATGTATATATGGGGCAAGTTCTATCCCACTTATGTTTGACTGACGATTACCACTGGCTAGGAAAATCTCAATAAAAACAACCGCTACTGCAACCTTGATTTACTACTTATTTCATTTAAAATGAATGCCATACACTTAAAACTAAAATTTTATCTAACCGATGCCAGTAAGCATGATACAACTATAAGGCTAAACATGTATTTAAAAAGTAACTAAATTATCGTTCAACATAGTTGTGAAGATTGTTAAATTTCATTTAAATCACGAACTGATTCTAGACCGATGGAGCTAAACCGTGTTGGATGTGAAGCAGTTGCCCACCAAAGATACTGCAGGAAGGTTGTGCAATGTTGTGCGGTGATTAAATTTAGACCACTGGATCCTGACTCACTAGTTTACAGCTTAAGCATTCGTGAACGAGACTGAAAGTTCTAGATTCGATTCCTGATTGTGGATGAGCACTACTGAGTAGTCCCACACTAAGGCGAAACAGCCATCTATTACTTGTCTAAATTAAACTAATTCGTGATTTCAATAAAATTAAATAATACGATTTTATCATCCCTAACGACCAAACAATTCACGTATAATTGAGACTACGAGTCAATTGGAGCTACACCACCACGGAAAACCTGGAAGCACTGGACGGCCATTTCGTTCTGTTGTGGGACTCCTCAGCAATGTGCATCCACAACCCTGCCTCGCGAGATTCAAACCCCGGATCTTTTAAGTCTCGCGCGCGAGCGCTTAACCACAAAACCACTTAGCCGGTCAGTATTCAACGGTGTTAATGTGTAACTTTAACTAATCCACGAAATTGAGCGACACATCCACCATTGTCATCAGTGAGTTACTATCTCACAACTGAGGAGTCCCACAACAAAACGAAACGGCCGTCCAGTGCTTCCAGGCTTTCCATGGTGGTTTAGCTTCAATTAACTCATGACCTCAACTATTGAAATTAGTACAATCTCCACAAAACCCTTTCTGATATTAACTCACATATACTTAATCCATATAAAAGATGACAATCAATGAATATAGAGTATATTTTCATTTAATTAATAAAATTTCAATAAGTAGGAAGAATTGTCAATTTTAGCGCAACAATATAACTTATAATCATGTAAAGTATTTGCATATAGAATATTTAAGGATAAGATCCATATTATTTAAGATTAAATAAAATCAAAAAAGACGAAACTATCATTCAATGATCGTGATAATTTACAATGAATCTGAAGCATTGATCGAAAGAACAAAATAAGAAAAAAATTTATTCAATAATATAAAAGATTATGATACGATCTTTTTTCTCTCTCAATTAGAGGATGTTAGCGCTTTTCAACAGTTGAAATCATGAGTCAATTGAAGCTAGATCACCATGAAAAACCTGGAAGCACTGGATGGCCGTTTCGTCCTAGTATGGGACTCCTCAGCAGTGCGCATCCACGATCCTCCCAGCGAGATCCGAACCCAGGACCTATCAGTCTCGCGCGCGAGCGCTTAAACATTAGACCACTGAGGCGGCATCCAACGGTGTTAATGTCTAACTTCAACTAGCGCTTTTATTCAACTTTTAAATCATGAATTAGAGTAGTCTAAACAAAATAAATAAATAATATGCAACAATAAGATAAAAGGGTAAAGCAACAAACAAAAAACATTTGAACAAGATAGCTATGTTTGAAAGGCAATGAGTAGTACTTGTAATAATACATCAGTATATTAACAATATACATACAAAAGAGAGAAAACAAACGATAAAAGAGGAAATAAACTAGAGAAACAAAAACAACAATAAAAATAACTAAGAATGAAGTTTAAAAATAAAAAATAAGTAATCTGTTGATAAATTACTTAACAAAATAATAACGATAATAATAATAGTGAATCTGTAAAAGATACACATACATAAATACATACAAAATAGCTGAAATTATTTGCATTACAGAAGTGATAAAGTCAAAAAGAAAGAGAAATGAAAGAACACAATAAACATGGGTGTTGTTGATGTACTTTTGTTGTATATGGGGTATGTACATGAATCGAATGTACAAATTGAAAATGAGAATAGACAATCCATTTGATGATGATGAAGCGTAAATAAAATTTGTATGATTATTTGATGTGAAAAAGGAAGAGAATAAAAAATGAAATGAGATAATATTGGATATCACAGCTACTACTAATATGAAAAGTACTAAGTAGTATGATAATAAGAGAAAGAAATTGAGGCGCATAGATAATCAGTATTTTAGTAATAAATTATTCATTATTTTTTATATAATATTCATCAAATAAATTTTTTACTAATTCAATACAAATCTTATTAGCAATTTGGAATTCTGGACCCAATAGACAAAAATTAAGAAATGCATGAGGTAAATTGTCTAAGACACGTACATCTACTGAGACATCAAGTTTAGAAAGACGTTTAGCTAACTCTAGTCCATCATCCAAAAATGGATCGAATTGTGAACACTAGAGAAGAGAAACAAAGATTATATATATATATATATATATATATATATATATATATATATATATATATATATATATATAATGATATTCAACATATAATCATATTTAAGGCAAATACTGGTTACTTTGAATGATAGTTTTGATATCAAATAACTCAAAAGATGGCTTAGAGGTTAACGTACTAGACTTTTGACTACTATTTCACAGGTTCAAGCCCCATTTTATCTACTTTAGTTTGGACAACCAAGTAGTATCACTAGCCTTTACAAATAATATGGCCCAAAGACAATAACATGAATAAACGTCCGGTAAATTTCATTTTCAAACATGTCTCATCTACTTGTTGGTGGGTTAGAATCCCACCTCCTCTACTATATTTTAAGTAGACGTGTACAGTGTTACTAACGTTTACACGAACTACGGCTTAAAGCTATACGTATAAGTACCTGTAATTACTTAGTGGTTTATATGAAACAAATTTAAAGATGAAGTATTCGTTCTGATGTTTCTGGTGTATAAATCTTATTAACACTGAACTACACTACAGATTTTCGAATACCATATTGTTATGAAGCAGCAAATACCGAGATTGTTATAACTTTCGGAACTATTTTACGGACTATTATTATTGTTGTTTACATTTTTATCATGTAATTATTAGGTAATAAGATTATTGCATTTCTACATTCCCAGTATTGCCAGCTTTCGTTGTACTCATCAATTACTGTTTTACGATTTAATATTTCTTAATCAGTCTTAATCATTTAGAGTTTGTTCCGTTCTCTGGTTGTATGTAAAGTAAGATTTTCTATTTTGGTTCAGCGGTGGTCTGAAAGTTCATGTTAACGAGTGTCTGAGATTAATACACAGGCTACCCCACAATATGATAATAGAAGCTTGTCTGATGTGTTCTCGTGTTCGGACTGAAAACTGACGATAGAACAAGGCGTGTGTATCGGTGGAGCAATAGGAATTAAGATTATCTAGGCATCGATTCAGGGTTAATATTGCCAGTCAATACTTATTATTGATCGAATTTTAGGTTGCTAGGCTACAGATAAATTAGTAAACACGAGGTTGATAAACAGGATACTGATTGGCAAATTTTCTCTCTAGATATCTATCAATTTGCAGTCATAATAAATATTAAATTCTACATTTTTTAAGGATAATTAGGTTAATTATTTCCAGAAAAAACATATATACTTCAATCATTTTCTTGCCTTCATAGGAACACACATGCATGCACACAAAAACCCACTCCACTTACGACAAAAACAACAGGAGGTAATCCACGTAGCATATCATCTGAAGCTAAGTACGGTGACATGAATCCATTCTGAGTTAAATGAATATTTCGAATACGGTTCAAATCAGTTCGGGGTCGATGTGGATGCTTCAATATTGGTGTACATTCATCCTCATTATGGTCTGGACTTTTTTCTTTCTCTTCGTGAATTATGAAAACATGAGAAAATTCATTTGTAAGGGATAAGTATGAAGATAAAAAAAGTATCTAAGTTATACAGGACAAAATATAAGTGGAATGAATTCTTTTAGGTAACCACTGTACGGTTAATCGAAATTCTTGGTGAGGTAACTTATCAAGTACAGGCTGGCCTACTCGATTTGGAATTGTATGGCTAATGATGTCCGGTTGTCCAAATTGAAGTAGGTAAAGCAAAACTTGAGGGTGCAGTCTAATGGTTGAAAGTCGGATGACTGAGCCATCGTGCTTCATTCAACATTGTCTGTTAGATTAATATAAATCAGGTGTACTGATTGACAAAATTAACTACAAAAAACAAAGCATATTTTCCACCAAATGATGAATATTATAGTTGCTAGACAATTTCTGTACCTCAATACTTGGTCGTAAATGTTTTATCATACAGTTTAACACATTTATTATTAGTTTGAATAAAGCAAGGATAACAATTAACGCATAATAATATGCACTCATTTTTGTGTTGTTTCGTAGGCATTCATCAGCTGTTTCCATCTGTATTCATATTGAAATATAACATAATATTAAATTGAAATTGGAAAATTGAAGTGATAACGATTCTCAGTATTGTACGTGTTTAGGGTCATTTAAAGATAAATATTAAAAAAAATTAAAGGGGGATGAAACGGTAATCAGTTAACTGAAGATTGTATAACATAATGCAAACAGTAACTATGGGGAATTTAATCAAAAATACCCATTTACCATATAACAGTGGAAAATCGGCAATTTTTTCCCTGAACTCATGAATCTACCTTGAATGTTTTTAATCGATGTTACTTCAGTGACGTCTAATGAAATTACATCTTTTTGTCAGTTAATCATTTTGAAAAGTTTAAGAACGTCGACAATGTAGCCATTATGTATTAAATGTGTCCAGCTGTTGTACTGTCTGATTATTAATTCATATTTAAACTTATTACATCAAGTGTTCTTTTATGACTGACTGATCATTGAATAGTAATCAAAGTCCCTCTTAGCGCTGATCGAAATCTAAGTCCAAAGTTTCCTGTCAATAACCTCTAACCACCATCTTCCACACCAACATAATCCATGTGATATCGAGTTATTTGAACAATTAGCTACATTGATGCTTGGTCAAAGGAATTAGATTAGCGCTAAAAATAACTAGGCAAACTGATTTTGGTCACTACTCAGTGGTCAATCAATTGTAAGCACATCTCAGTCTTACAGGAGCTCAGTTGTGACTCCAGTAGCTCAGTGGTAACGCCTCTGACTATGAAACTGAGTGATACGTGACTAGATCTGCAAGTTTCATTTCTCTGAAGACTACATATACGCCTTGCTGACAAGTGTCAAACAGAACTAAACCAAGGTCCAGGACTTCCTATCGACTATCCCCAAATACCATCTTACATTAAATGTTATCAACTTCATCAGAATAGAGTTTTAGAAGCAACCACAATATTTTTTTTAATATTTAGTACACTAAATGATACGTTAGACAGAATGTAGACGATAGATGCAAAATAACGAACCTGATTTATTCAACTTTGGGGATTTATGTGAGGAGTGAGATTCTTCACTTAACCGACATAAATTAGACGGCACAGATTGATCTTTTGGATTTTGCAAATAAGCATCATATAAAGGAGACATTGTTATGTTTGAATATCGACGTAAATGTCCAATTTTTAACTCTTTAGAATTATTTAAATCTAATTTCGATGGATTAGACCAAAGCGTTGAAAATAATCGAGACCATATTGGGGAATTTGGTTCAGTTGTTAAGTTTGAAGGATTTTTATCAACTTCGAAATCATCATCAAGTTCGTCGGAATCCAATGTTGCTTCGTCTATACCAGCATAAGCTATAAACAATAAAGTGATAAGTCAATTAGAGTGATTGAAACATAATTATTTACTTGAAAGTATCGATGCCAAGGTTGGACTTGATAATTTCAAATAAATTGAGCACTGGGTAGAAAGTTAATAATAAATATATTTTATAATTATCTATTATATTTCCGGGAAAATGTTAGATTTTACAACAAAATAACAGTAATCATAATATATTAACCCCTCAGTCAACCGATCATAAGGAATATAAAACCTAGCATATGTAAGGGTCGGTTCATTTTATCACAATATCTCAGCACAGAGAGAAGAAATGATCAAGAAAATATCAGAGTAGTAAAAGTGGTAACAGTATATATATATATATATATATATATATATATATATATATATATATATATATATATATATATATATATATATATATATATATATATATAGTATAACACAACCTTAAAACTCAAGACCTAAAGGAAGACAAAGAGTTGGTGTAACTGCGCAATTGAATTTGATTTCGAGTAATATCACCCAGCGTTTTACAACCATTGGTTACGATAAATATTAGTAACCTCCGAATATCCTCTATTTTTAAAGGCCATGCTCCACAATCATCAAGTAAAACAGAACGAACTGTGGAGCAGTATACTCCCACCATTAGTTGATAAATGAATGGGTCTCGGATACGCCACAGGAGATGTAAATTCGCGAAATTCAATCGGCCTTTATTAAGCCATACTGAGATCCTTTCAGACACTAATCCACCAGTTCTGATGAGACTTATAAAAAAGTGAAGTGTCCGACACGCTCAGCTACTTTGTTCCACCATTAATTCAGTCGTTTTAAACCAACATGTCGCCACAATACCAGTACTAACAATAATATTATTTCTCGCACTATATGTATAACGTGTATTTCATAGTTCAAGAAGCATCATATTCGAACCAGATTATTTATTTATTGTTTATTATTATAAATTATAATTCAGAAATATATGACCATCTGACAGATAGCCATTAAATTACGACAATGTGTCTATAGACTCATTAGTGACTGTTTGGTAGTCTCAACTCCAATTTACAACGATCTAGGTAGCCGTGTAGCATTAATAAACTTCGTGTAACTAGCATCTGAGTTATTAAACCTATGATTGATTAATGAGTTACGGTTAACTTGGCAAATGTATAAATATACACTAAAGTGAGCTTACCCAATAAACACTTAGCAAGAACACCAATAGGAAGTAAAGGATCACAAAGTGATAATAATCTTGAAGGAGATGGTGTAAAAGAAACCAATACAGGCGTATAAGCCAAAAATATCCCACTTGGTTTATTAAGTAAGCCATCTCGTACAGCGCGCATACAAACACCCAGTGCCAGATTCCCTCCAGCAGAATCACCAGCAAGAACAATTTTCGCATCTGATGTACAACCTAATTTTTCACGATTTAATGTTATCCAACAATAGGCATAATAACATTCTTCTAATGCACGTGGATAAGGCGCTTCAGGTGAAAGTGAATAATCAACAGCTATAATTGGACAGTTCAACTGTTCAGCCCATATACGTAAAAAGTTCTAAAATTAAATAAGATATTGACATAATGCCTCGTGAATACATTAAAAAATACAAATAGATAAGTGTTCGAGATTGCATTACTGATTGATCTTACTTAGACAGCTATTGAAAACCAAAAAGCACTAGATAGCTGTTTTATTGGGTTGTGAATGCGCACTGACGAGCAGTTCCATACTGCTATATTGGGATAAATATTGAGCAAAAGCTAGCTTTCAGAATCTTCCTATCTGAGATTGCTCTTTGTAGTTTTGCTGTATGATTATTCAATAATTAAAGTATTATATACTTGTATTGTTCTACCTATAAGCTTTTGTTGACGCATAAACCATTGTTGTGTGTTTTACTTTTCCTATACAATTGTTAGTCAATCACGGATTTATCAGTTAGTCCTCTTCAACCTATGGTTCAGTTATCCTCAATATTGTAGTTCCTCAATCCCATTGATATGTGGTCAGGATTCTATCCTATATTATTGTATGAGTGACTCGCAAGCTTAAACTGAGTAATCAGACGTTATTTGCTTGTTGAGTTCTTCTCTATTCTGGCTGTCAGACGAGTGAGAGAGCCAGTGTGAAACTGCAGTCTGGACCAATAGTCAATTAGTGGTACTCTCGGTTGTTACCTCCCATTTAGCGTGTCATTGGTTAGTTGAAGGTCATTGTTGCTAGATAGATAGTCTAGGCAAGCTAATCAATACTTGGACTAGATCCATACAGTATGATACCATGGGCCCAAATGAGTACATAAGAAAATTTGTTTATTTTTACCGACACATCACATACTACAATCAAACAGTTATTCAGTGCTTTCTTGTTTCCAATGGTTGTCTCAGGTTAACTCATGATATAACTGACGAAAGCCCTACAACTTACATAAACCCTTTAAAATAATAGAAACAAAAATCAAAATCTTTAAAATAAATAATGAGCATTTTGAATGGAAAAAAGATCAGCAAAGAATTTAGTTAACAATCTTGATTTGTTTGGTTGATTTTGGATCATAAAACAAACAAACTAAACTTTAAGAACACAATTGTATGAACGAAGAATATTCTTTTCAATAATTTCTCATCAGGTTCTACAATTATAAATCCAGATTAATAATCCATAAAATTGGCCAAATTTAAGGCAAAATACATCATTTGGAAATTGCAATATGTGAATCAGGAATTGTTTGTTATATAAAATAAAATAAAATTGTTAATGTTGGGGCTTTAAAAACTAGATTTGTTTTCAGTTTCATAAGGATAAAATTTGCATTGAGTGTGTGATATCATTCGGATATAATGAATACAATCACTTGAGAATTTATTTGTAAAAAATGGTAAGTAATCATTGTCAAATTTTCACAGTTGTTAGAATGGTTTAAAGCATAGGTATTCCGTTTCGTTTTTAAAAGTCATAATCACATTGTTTAGATTACCAGATCTACAAGCGCAGGATAGTTTGAGTACGAAAATACCTGCTTCGGTTTCAGCACCCGGTTCGTATCCCAGCCCTCACACAAATCAAATGATTTATATGGCGCATATCTATTTGGTGCCTCCTTGTACCAATGTTTATATGTTTAAATAATAAAATAGTAATAATTGACAATGAAATAGGTAATTTTGACATTATTAGTAATGCTACCTGGATATCCAAACCGATTAATGCAGTCGTAAACGTAGACTGCAACTAAGTTTATTTATTTATTTCAACACATAGATATTGGTACAAGGAGGCACCAAATACATATGCGCCACACAAATTTCATTCGATATGTGTGAGGGCTGTGATACTGCCCGGGTGCCCAAACCGAAACAGGTGGTTTTCTTAGGGGGCCACACCCCGAGCCTTTGACCTAAGGATCTGATCCACAAGGCAGTGGAGCATCGTAAGGAGATGCAGTCAAATGGGAGCCGGTGACCAACAATTGGTTCATACGCCATTTGTTCCTGCAGGATACTGGAGCCCATATGCACCATTGGTTTGTGATCCGGTTAAAGCGCCGGACGTTCGCTTTTCGTCCTCTCATTTTCGTAAACAACACCTCCACCACGAGAAGGCAGTGAGTAGGACTTCCCTGGCACAGGCTGTATACGCGTGGCCATATGAGAGCATTTCGAGAGGGAGAGCGGACTCTCACCACTCTCGGCCGTACCAGGGCATTTGGGGGTCATCTTAGTATATATATATATATAAACGATGGTCGCCTATTATGGAGTCACCAAGTGAGTAACTCTGAAGTTAGACGCCAGGTACTAGGTTAAGATTTAATGGCTAGTGGTGTTATGGATATTTATCAACTGATATAGCTCGGAAATTCGTTGTGCTTTCTACGCATTGCCGAACCAGATGCACAATAGTTATTACCAGTACAGCAACAAATTGAAGAAAATCGAACAGGGTCCTTTTTAACGTCTGTGGACCCCAAATGCTACGGCTAAGGGTGGAGAGAGTCGGCTCTTCTTCTTGAAATGCTCTCACATAGTAACATCATTACAGCTATTGTCAGGGAAGTCCTACTCACTGCCTTCTCGTGGTGGAGGTGTTGTTTACGAAAATGAGAGGACGAAAAGCGAATGTCCGGCGCTTTAACCGGATTCCAAGCCAATGGTGCACGTGGGCTGGCTCCAGTATCCTGCGGGAACAAATGGCGTGTGAACCAATTGTTGGTCACCGGCTCCCAGTTGACTGCATCTCCTTACGATGCTCCACTGCCTTGTGGATCAGATCCTTAGGTCAAAGGCTTGGGGAATGGCCTCTTAAGAAAACCACCTATTTCGGTTTAGGCACCCGGACAGTATCCTAGTCCTTGCAAAAATCGAATGTTCTGTGTGATGCATACATATTTACTGCCTACTCGTACCAATATTTGTGATTAAGTAAGTAAGTAATTAAATAATAGATCGTGAGGTCACTTGTTGTCAATCAGAGATATATTCGTAGGTGCGGACTTCCTGGTTAATGTTTACGATGAAGTAATGGATGAATAGTAAGTGCGCCCAAATTTTAGCCACTAAATCACATATTCTAAACTCACTCTGTCTACTTCAGTTTCAGCAACAGTGTAATATCACTAGTTTTCACTGGACAATCACGATTCGCAGTTACAGATGAGCACCTACACAAATTAGCTATCTATATTTGATATCAAGGTTGTCATACATTGACCGCTGGGTAAGGCAAATTAAACCGATGTATATACGTACTAGGTTTCACGTTGTATTTGATTAACTGACTGCTTTGAATTTTCTGACACCTAAACTAAGGTTTTGTCAAGTTTCTAACAATTAAGTAGTTTCAATTAGCCAGTGACAAGTATTATGAACACAATAAAGAGAAAGTAAGACAATTTAACAGGTTTTATGTACTAATCAACAAAACATACGTAATGTTATTATTTGATAGTAAGGATGCAAATGCGACTTACATCCTGTGACTGAGATGTTAAAGCAATAAATCCACCACCGTGTACATAAAACAATACATAAGGTGATTTATTTGTATTATTCTCAGTTGAAGTATTTGAAAATTTAAAACTTTCGTACGAATAACGACGATCATTTGAACTTGATAAAACAACAGATGATGAATCGTTGGATGGAAAGAATCGTGAATTGTACGATAGTAATGGTGATACTGAATTTCTGCTTGAGTGATGATTTGATTGATTTATGCAGTTAGGTGATTCGAAAAATTTAGGAGATTCAGATGTCCGAGTCCATTCCAAACCAGATCTAAGATGACGACATAATATACGCATCCCTAGTGGAGCAGTGCCAAAATGTGATTTTGGTGGTTCTATTACAATGAATTCTGTTTAGAAAATCAACATAATAAATATGGGAATGACGGTAAAACGAAAGTACGAAATACCATTTTGATTATCAATCTGTCAGTAAGTCATATGCAATAAGTGCATCGGTTCAGGTTGCCACAACATTACACTAGTACAGCGAGATAAAATTATCAAAACAAGTCACAGGTCAGTGAAAGTAGTAAATATCAGTAATGGTGTTACATTAGTAGAAGAGATTAAGTATAGAAAAAAAGGAAACGAAAAATATAAGGTGATTTCAGAATCCAGGATCTAAGAAAAAGTCAAAGGGTGGATGCACATGAGGGGGATTTGAAGTCACATCACTTAGCGTTTTTAACCATTGGGCACGATAGTCACGCGGACCCAAAATGAGTAGCCAACACCTACTTGAATGGCTCAGTTCAATGATCAATAATTGGTGTTACATACTGTTTTGACCGCCATCATTTATCTCCTAGCCTACTTCTACACCAAACAATATTACTGTAAGTAGGTGTTTGCAGATACTTAACACATCTATCTTAGTTGATGAAGGTTCACATCTTTACCTAATGCCCTGACCACTAACCTCGAAATTGCCCAATCATTAGTTCCAAAATATATGAGCATTGGTTCAAAGACACCCATGGTCCAATATTAGTAACTTACAAATTTCTTATTTTCTTTGTCCATCAAGTACAACAGAGAGAACTGCTGAGCAGTAAACTTATCGTTTGGTTGGCAGATGGACAACTCGCCTACGCCATAAGTGACGCGAATTGGCAAAGATCAACTGAGCTTCTTAAATCAGTGTCAAAATATCAATTTAGGTTGTGTTATATCCGAGAGAAGATTAAATCACGAGTAACTTCTGAGACATATTAATGGACTATTATTATTTATATATTCTTATGGTATTACTATTCAATAATTAGATTATCTATATTTATATTCCTCTTATTATAAGCTTTATTTTGACCTGTAATTTATTATTGTACGATTTACTGTTCTTAAGCTATGTTCAGTTTATTGACTACTGCCTTCCACGTTCACAGCCACTTTTTTGGCTTTATTGTGTACAAATGTTATTTCCTAATTTATGGTGCGTTGCGGTCTGTTTGGTTGATATATAAACCCAGTATGTCTGAAATAAATGAGTCGATTCGATTCGCATATTGGAATCTGGTATTGCTGCTCTGGACTCAAGTGGACGGGCTAGGCGGACATAGGACCAATGACGACGCTAGGCTGCTCATACCGATCGAACGTCATTGGTTTGGCACAGCGTGAAGATTGTGTAAGTCGTATTTTGATTGGTGGATAGATCACGTGATAAAAATCCAGACATAAAGTCATAACAGGTTGTTTATTCGTTGAAGAAACATTGGAATCTACAGAGCAGTAGTGTGTGTTGTTCTACGGTTGAAACATATGAATATATATTTTATAAGCTGAAAGTCCGAAGAAAGAAATTTGTCGCGTGATGTCCGTTACAGTAGAACTTGTAATAATATTATACTGAAAGCACCAAAACAAAATGTTTTACCAAGATGCATCAAAAGTTGTAAATACAGAAGGATCGTGCAGGGAATTTGCATATTGACAAGTAACAGGATATCAGTTGAGATATTTCCTGATAGACCTCAGTTTTGACCACTGAAGTGTACCTAAGCGATTCACTGATTGAATTTCCCCCAGATGCCCTGGTACGGCTAAGGGTGGAGAGAGTCAGCTCCCCTTCTTGAAATGCTCTCACATAGCAACATCATTACAGCTATTGTCAGGGAAGTCCTACTCACTTCCTTCTCGCAGCGGTCGTGTTGTTTACCAAAGTGAGAGGACGAAAAGCGAGTATCCAGTGTTTTAGCCAGGTTGCTGGGTATGGAGAGCACATCTAGGGGAGTTGAATAACCCTGATTCCAAACCAACGGTGTACATGGGCTGACTCCAGAATCCTGAGGGGACGAATGTCGTATGCACCTATTGTTGGTCACCGTGTACCATGGGACTGCATCTCCCGTCGTTGCTTCACTGACTTGTGAATTAGACATGTGAATAACATGTAAAGAAGACTGGTTTGGGTGTCGTTTTGACAACCTGGAGGTGTAGCTGTGGAGCCAAAGTGATAACATCTTGAGGCCAGTCGCATACGGTCTTTATGCGAGTACTAATTAATGCGTTAGCTCCTTACTTAAGAAGCCTTACCATGAGCGACGAAAATCCGTTGGGTAAGGTGAAGTGTTATTTTTAGGGTCGATTTTTTCCAACTTCCTCCTGTTGTGAGTTTTAATTAGAACAATAACTGCGATAAAAGTACTTTCGTACGACAACACCCGAATAGAATGAATTCTATTGAATTAATATTAAGACTCGCTTAGAACTAAACGATTCTACTAATAAACCGGGATAGATGAGAAAAAGATATTCCCACGACAGGAAGATCGGGTTTTCTGATACATATATTGGCAACATTGTCGATCAAAAATGTTCGTGGACTGATGGTTAGTAACTTCTTAAATGTTAATCATTAACAAACCTGAAAGAACCTGGCAAGTTTTAGACGTGGTATTATGTAACACATAGACTTGTACTTTTACGTGGCTCTCGCCAAGAACACGACTATTGTGCTACAGACATTAATAGGTATAAAGTATCGTGGGAAAATCCGTCAATGAAACCACTACTATATACTAACCTCGTTTAAAAAAGTTTACTCGGATGTATGATTCAATTATTTCTGCCACCAAGACATCTTGCTATGTTTTACTTTGTTATTTAGTTACATTACAACATAGAACTAAACTATGGATTATTCACATTAAGACAATACATAAACTTTATTAGAACAACAAACGAACCTCTTCCGTTTTCTCGTATATTCATATCTAGAGGTATTTTTAGCGATTTTGTTTGTAATTTAAAAGAGCGAGCTACAGCCATGGAAGGTAGAATTACATTGGGGGCTTCGGATACTACACGTAATTCTGCTAAATTCCAAAACGCTTTACAAAATTGAACACTGGAATTTCGTGTAAGCTTTGCCAGCATTTTGCCGCGGTCTTCAGGGGATAAGTAAGAAGTAACGGACCGATAAACTGTGTTGACTAAGCTGACAATTCCTTGTTTGCTAGTCTAAAATATTTGTAAAACAAAAAACACCGTTATTTACTATAATATAAGCCATAGATTATGTAAACAAGCCGCTCAAATAATTAGGTTCATAAGCAACAAGTTGGAATAATTGGTGTGGTTAGTCATCTAAATTATTTCCTGCTGACCAGTACTAGGATCTGTGCGCGAATTCTATTGTTTCAAACTGATTTGTATGATGTACTTGGACCAAAGCGAGTGTTCTTTTTCTAGGTAGGTGCATCCTACCTAGTTGCAGGTCATAAATGATACACTTGTCTCAAGCTCTATGTTGTGGATGACTGACAGGCTGTTCTTCTAGAACAGGACAACTTATCCAGTTGCATAACTCACCAGGTGCTTCGATATGAGCCAAACTGTTCATGATACTATATGCCTGCCCAAACCGAAGTAGGCAAAGCACAGTTCAAATCCGGGATTCCGTGACTGAAACTTAAACTTCTCAACCACTGACCCAAATATACAGGACTTGTGCTATGATGTGATTCTACAAACTAATATTTTCTTAAACGACATAATTAATTTTGAAAGCATAAATATTTTGCATATTTAACCTACTTTGGTTTACATTTAATACGACTTAGTAACTACGTAGAGGCTTTTGCATTCAGCTCAAATTTACACCATCTGAGAGTTAATGAAATTGCGCGACTCTCCTTCCCCCTCCAAATGGTAAAACGTCAAGTAATTTAATCAGTGAACCTTCGAGTTAGATATCAAAATTTACAAATGAACGGTCTAGTATCGGAAATGGTCAGATTTATTTTAATAAAGAGAAAGGAATTTTGCTAAAACAACTTTAATAAGTGTTTTAATATCATAAATTTAAGTACATTGGATTAAAGTTACTCATATTAAATAAGTATGCTTACCAAAAAGCTATTACCATATCCCGCCATAAACGAATTGAGGAACAGCAAAATTCTCTGAGCACTAGGGCATAAGTAAAAGGCTAGACAACGACCATAAAAATATTCTTGTTTTATACTGTCTGATAGGACTTCTAGTCGGTAGAACTCTGAAAGATCTTCTTGATGCTGTTTTGATTTCACAGTAGAATATGCATCGGTAATATTTGTCGGTTTATCATCAAAACTGCTTACATCACAATGTCCAATCTCCGGCAAATCGACGAATTCAGATCGAGGGAAAAGCGTACAAGGTTTAGTGAAACGTGGTAGATAACTAAGAACTTCAAGACACAAGCTGAGCTCCATAAGGCAATTGATGTATGCTATCACGCTTTTATGTGTTATACCAGACCTAACGTTAATAGGAAATTATAATCTTGTATTATGATCAAATATGGGTATAATATGTACGATAATGTTTACTATAGTACACGTAGAAATTATTAATTCTTATATTACAAGCAATCCAATAGGTTAGAATACCATCTAAAACCGACTATTTCTAAAAACTAATACTGAGTATATGTGGGATCACAACCACAACTGTCAATATCTTGTTTTCTTCAAAGTAATCCCTGAAAATCTTAAAAAGAGAAAATTTTTGTTATCCAACAGGTCAAAAGGTTCTGATCGGAAATAGGATTTATATAAGGTAACCTAAACTACTTGATGCTTAGTTGTGTAGCCAATTGAAACAGTCACATAGACAAATCACCAGTGTCAAGGAATGAAAAACAACTGTTCACTGTAACTATGATAGTGCTTGAAAGAAATTTTGGGTCAAATCAATACAACACGACGTTAGTCAACCCTAAACATACACACCTATAGTTATTTAAAATGACAGTTTCGAAGTACTGGATAGAATAACTAAGGCTTACAAATCAAAAATAATCTGGTCAAACTAGTTTCGATCATTGATTAAATTAGCTTATGAGGGGACAGAAGTCCTCTTGTGACAGCCACATTGAAATCTTTTTGAATAAGTCCCTTCGAGTATATTTTTTTACGACTTATCAATCAGCATTGGCAGAAAGATATCGATAAAAGTAAATAAGTGATTGCAGTTTTTCTGTGATTATATATCTGACCAGACGTCCTCTGATAGACCTAAAACGGTTGTTAAAATGAGTAGTCAGTCAGTCAGTAGCAACGTAGAACTTCGTGCGTACATCAGTTCAAGTTGCCATATCACATTAACACACAGATACAATTGTCGATTCAAACCCCATGGTGGTAGAGGTAGTAAAAGTGTAAGCAGTAATCGGAAAGATTATGGTTTGAAGATGTTATAATTCAGTGAAATAAATTTGAAGAGAGAAAAAGAGATGAAGAATTCAGAAGATTAGAATTTGGGAGAACACAAAGAGTGGATGCACCTGCGCCACTGCAAACGATTTTGAGTCATGTCATTCACGGTCTCGAACCATCAGTTGTTATCATCTCGCGGTCCCCAACCAGTTAGTCTACACCTGCCAACACAACCCAGTCCACTTGTCAGTGACTTCATGGATTTGTGCCATATGTTGGCCTGACCGCCCATAACTTTTTTTCAACCTACTCCTGCACCATAAAACATCGCACGTCGGGGCAGTTGGTGGTTGGGCATACGTAACACATGTCCCAGCCACACCAAGTGATTATTTTGTGACCTTTATTTTAAATCTCCATTACTCACCTTTCAACTGACAAGTAACTAATAACCATAACATCTTAGTAAAGCATTTTGTACATATGCAATAGCGTGAATTCTCTTACATTGTTTACATTCTTAATCAGTTGGCCAGTAGTTTTATCGCCCAAATTCCATTTAGGTGGGATCGGTTTCGTGGGTAAATTACTGGTGTAGACGCCACAATCATTCCAACAATTGCATTGATCGACAGCCTTTACGACGGTAAGCAGATCACGTAAACTGCTTCATTCATTTGTTTAAACACATAAAAATTGGTACAACCAGGTACCAAATATACATGTGCCACACAAACCTTTTAAACGAATATTTCGACATTTACTTCGTACCTATAAAATTAACGACCAGTGTCACTGGTCTACATCTACCTTGACATACAATGCTGACTCAAGTCAGTCAGTCAGTTACAAAGTAGGGCCAGGCACATATATGCATCGGTCCAAGTCGCCATACTTCAGTAGCACAGCAAGATGAACACCGGATTCATAGGAGTGGTTAAGTCAATGGTGGTAATATATAGGAGAAAGATTGTAATATAAGGATAGTACAGAAAGAAAGAATTAGTTGGTAGGAAGAAAGATACGAAGCGACTTTAATCTCATAGTTCAAAGGAAGACAGAGTGAATACACCTAGGCTATTGTGACCAATTCTGAGCCATGTCACCAAGAGTCTCCAACCACTGGTTACGATAGTCACGCGGACCCTAACCAAGTAGCCTGCATCTACCAACATGACACAGACCAGAAGTTAGTGACTTTAAGCACTGATGCCACGTTTTAGTTTGGCCGCCCCTAACTTTCTTACGACCATCCGCAACACCGGTTAGCATTGCATGTCGTGGTAATCGGTGTTCGGGCATACGTAACACGTGGCCCAACCATCTCAGTCGATGAAGATCCACAACCTCATCAAATGACTTACCACCATTCCCTAACACGCTGCGTCTAACCTCACTATTACTTACCTAGTGATCCTAGCATATGAGAGTAATTTCAGTTGTATTAATTGCCAAAATTTAAGCCACAAGAAAGAATCTATTAAATCACTGGGTTTTGCATTAACTAGCGTGAGAAGTAAACTTTCTGATTGGGGTCTTAAGGACAATTTACATAAATAGAGATCTGAGTTGATATTCAAAATCTAAAATTGTTGTATGAATACATTCACCCATTATTTCCCAAACCTCAAAAGTATCTTTATTTACTCTCCTAATGACCTTTATAATAGTTCCACAAGGATAATTTCACTTAAGGATGAGTCGTAGAAAAAATTTAAAAGGTTTTAATAGTTTACGAATTCGCCTAAACGAAAATTGTGAATCTGGTTAAATCTGGTCTTACCAGTTGGAAAGGGAATATGAACTCATTTGCCGAATGTACATCAGCAGAACAGCAGAGCATCTCGTAGTGATTGCCAAAAAGCTTCGGATGCCATTCGCCCGCAAAGAGCCGAAATCATAATCACCTGCTATCGAATACAAATATTTAATCCTTGAAGAAAAGCCCGAGTTCAACAGAGCATGAAGTTTTTTTAAAGCACAAACGATATCGCTTTCCGACCGAGAACTTTCGGTATTTTCATCATCTATTTCGAGATTAGTTCGAATAATTGTGAGGTACGTTCTGCACTAAGAAAATATAAAAGACTCGACAAGTCGTTCTTACTTGTAGATGCAATTCCGAACACAGCCGGACCATTTGTATGCATTCCGAACTATCCAGTGATTCTTTATTTTCATCTACAGAAACCAAACTACAATAAAGCAAACAGAATTCGTACTCACCATTATTTGCACTGAACATACTAAATTTTCGATCCATATTGAGTTCGCTGTTAAGTATCCTTACAGAATCGGGTTTTTAAAGAAAGGTATTTAACAATAAAAGTATCATAGAACTTCAAAATGGAATCTTTGTTCATCAGGATGCATCGCTGTACATCTCCATAAGCATCTACATCTCGATAACCCTAATAAGCCCCCAATGGGGCGTAGCATATGACCTCATATTTTGAGCGATTCAAACAGATTTCGAGTAAACGCTTTTTAAATTTTGGCTCTGAAGAAAGAGTACTAATGTGTTTTTTTTCGCTTGATCACTATGCTAGTTCATTTGCTCACTTTTCTCCTGGCTTAATGAATCGACGAGCGAGATGCTGCTTCTTATGGCAGCCTACTGAAGTGTCTATTTGCATTGCTTCGTTTCAGGTAGGATAAAGAGTCAGAACGTTACTTTTGTTTCCCGAGGTACAGGATTTTGTTGCATAAACTGATGGAAGGGACTATGATCACTTGACAAGATAGATGCTTCCATTCACTGACAATTCGAGGGAAAGTTGGTAATCATGAGACAAGTAGTCAGTTCTCTGATTATAGACGTTTCGCTATTCTAAAGGACGTGGACAAGAACGTGTCAGATGTAAAAATTAATCACGTGACCAGAAGGCCTGATCAGATTATCCTTTATTCTTTTGTACGGTGGGAGTAAACTCATTCCGGATACCGTGTCGCCACACAGTAGCTTTCGATTTTACGTGTCGACTTAGTTACGATTCCAACAAACCTATGACGGTAAATAAATCCCAAAAATCAGTGCCCCTGTAAGTCTTCGAGACACGATGCTGACCTCAATAGATTTAATAGACTCACCTAGCTGATGGCGCTCGGTCATGCATCTGCACATGATCACAAGTGATTACTCCCGCTGAGTGATCACAACCGCTAACCAGCTTAGGTTAGTCACTTCTCGATATATCGATATTATGTCAAGTGTATCTTTGAACACCCTCGCTTCTGACTTCTGATTTCATTTGGTTGGAACGTTTCGATTATAAAATGTGTTACTGTTTAAAGTCTTGTCAGATTCCGAAAAATTATGGCGTCGATATGGCTGAAAAGGGATTGGCCGTAACCACAAAAACTTCAAAGCTGAACATGAGATAACTCGAAGAATAAGTGTTCAAAATTTCACACGAAGAGAAGGCTGATAATGGTGAACGTGAGAAAAATTATTTTAATTATTCGGATGGCAAGACTCAGTCTGGCAAGCGTTGTTATCCTTATATAACTTACCTCTTTTATTCATATGAAGTATGTATTATCCTATCCTCAGTTTAAATGTGTTATTTTGAAGTACTAGGTGTCATACTGTTAATTGTTACTATACGATGAGTCAGGATACTTATCGAGTAGTGGTTGATAAAATGGCTCTATCGTGTGCCTAGTTGTGACTGGAGATAATCTGCAACCAGTAAAAGAAGTTACGTTAACAGATAAATTAGTGTTTCTGCCTACTAGCTCCCGTATCGATGATTAGATTTCGGTGTTGTAGAAGGTCTATATCAATGACTGGCAACAACAAAATTCCAGTGAATGGGTTTGCGTAAACCGACGTTAAGGTAAATGTACCTTTTGCCACACGCAGCGATAGGCTTTCCGTTTGCCGCCTGTAGATTTAAAACCGATTCAGGAAGATGGTCGTTAGAATTCGCTGGAAGAGCGCTAACTTCTGCGCCGGTATAAACAAGGTGGCGAACTCTTGTTATCACATCTGTAACGTACGACAGACGGCTATGTTCGCCAGCTACGGTTGCTGTTAACGCGTGCCGGCTTGGAAGTTTCCCGAGTTGTTTTTCGAGTCAGTTGGTTTTGAGATGGGAAAATTGCAGGGTTTTCCGCAATTTCTGGAAGACTTTCCATACTGATTATGATACCAGCACCAGCCGGGGTTATCCGTCTCCCGTGGTCTAGAGGCAGATCGCCTACGTGAAGTGCTTCTTCGCAGGGTATGTGACCGTTTGCAGTCGTTACAAAATTTGAGATAACGTGTAAGTGTATGACATAACTCTGTAATGTCACTCTGGCTCGTTTGAGGCATCTCTTTGACTGAAAAAAACTCTGAATCAGAAGATTTCGTGATTTCTAAGATGCGGTCGGCATATGCGGACAGGTAATCTAACACGTTGTTTTGAAACGAGGCCAGTACAACTTGCACCTGTTGAGGAAGTTTGGACAAGAAAAGTTGTTTGAATAGGCCATCATCGAAAATTCTTTGGCCGATAACCTCTCTCATTCTTTGCAACATGTTTGCCGCAGAACCGTGTTGCAGGTCGATGTTATTAAGGAGTTGCTCTAACCTTTGTCGAACAGTTAGGTCTCCGCATCTAAGTGTTTCATAGGGTTCCGAAACATCACTAGTAAACATGATACGTGTTACGTACCTGTCGAATTCGCTCTGTATTGCCTTGACTACTGCGAGGAATTGTGCACGTATGTCGATCGTAGAAGTCATCTTCTGCGTAGCAGAACCAGGATTAAATACTACCTGGCCAGAAGAGCATTAGTTGAAATGAAGGTGAGGAAATAGTCTTTAACTTAAGTACCTTGGGTGTCTGTTCAGTTATGGTGAAATATGAAGTACGAGAATGAACGACTGAAATATATATATATCCAAAAACACGGAAAATATCACAAATGCATAAAAAATTAAAATAATGATGAGATATAAAATCCCAAAAAGGAACAGGCTCACAGTTTGCATTTTGGTGTACCAGATTGCGTCGGGCTCACCAATGAAGATGTCACAGTCATCCGGAGTTTGACAACGCTTTAACCAGTAACACCTAACATGAATCTTACCCACCAAGTGAAATCAAAGAACAGAAGCGAGGAGGCTCGAAGATATGTTTGATAGGCTATCAATATATCGAGGATCATCTGATCTAATCTAGCTAGCGATTGCAGAGGATGTTGGGCACGGCGATCCCACTCGTGATCTGGTGCGGACACATGATCGAGAGCATTCAGCTAGGCGAGTTCATTAAAACGAATGTGGTCAGCATCCAAAGTTGTAGACTTACAGAGCTATTTATTTCGAGGATTTATTTACCTCTACAGCATCATACCGCTGTCCAAGCCCCTCCAATCGTAATTTTCGCAGTATAGTTACAAAATTCGAGGGTAGTTCAGTCACTAGATGTTTTGATTACAGATAGAAGCACCGTGGCCTGTAACTACTATATCGTAGAGTTGTCGGAGGAAAGTCGTTCGGTGGTAAGTCGAAACGTAATCTGGTCTGGGTGCTTGACGGGGCGCCTCCAGTAAGGCGAATTTAGTATCGATGTTGGATGCGTAAAAGTTACTCTGCGGATCTGTTTGCCAATACAGTCTTCCGAAAATTAAGACGAATTGGTCAGAATATCCAAATGGGAATCACTAACGAAAATATTTACTGAAAATACATTACCTGGTAAGTTAACAGATAAGTGAAAAAAACGAGAGTACAAAGGAACATGTCCATTACGTTTAGACCTTTTATATCATTGTAAGAATACTGAGCGTGGTGACTAGTGAATTACATGTTAAAGAGCTATCGTTTAGTAACTGTTCAACTCCAGTATTCACTCAGTCATTAATATAACCGATTGTTGTATCCTTTTAGGGAACTCAGAATTATTAATAAAACGGCAACACTTGGTATTTATTAAACAACTTCTTTAATGTTTCGAATTAATTCCCTACTCAAATTCGATGAAGATTTGATAAAATACTTCTTAGTTGGGCGTCAACAAAGAGTTCGGGTGAACTCAAAGTTATCTAGCTGGGAAACTGTGCTTAGTGGAGTGCCCCAGGGTACAGTTTTGGGGCCAGTGCTATTCCTGTTGTATGTAAATGACATTCCTCGTCTCCTATCATCATCGGTCTTGTTATATGCTGACGATGTCAAGATATGGAGAACGATACGATGTAAGAGTGATAACTTAGAACTTCAAAATGACCTGAAGAAGTTATCTGAATGGTCTCAAACATGGCAGTTGCCGATAAATACTTCCAAGTGTGTTGTGATGCATATCGGTCATCAATGCAGAGATACATACACGATGGATAACACTGAGCTACCTGTCGTCCAGACATATAATGACTTAGGAGTTATCGTTGGCCAAGACTTAGAGACTACTGCACACTACTGTGCGATAGCCGCCAAAGGTTTTAGAACGTTATGGTCGATACGTAGGGCTTTTAGTCATGTCGACGCCAAGACGTTTTTAACTTTGTAAACAGTGTTCGTTCATCCTAAACTTGAGTACTGCATACAAGCGGCTAGCCCCTGCTTAAAAATATACAGTGAGCTTCCGGAAAAGGTTCAGAGAACGGCGACTAAGCTGGTTCCCGGAATAGAGAAGATTCCGTATGAAGTTCGACTGGCCAAAACAGAGAATTTACGAGGACACTCCAAAAAAGTTCACAAGCCGAGAACAAATTACTTGTCAAGGCTTCTCCGTGTAGCACTTAAGAATGCTACCAATGTTCCAAATTGAAAGCATAAACTGCCTATCTATGAACGCCTCGAGTCTACCGAACAAACTGGATGAATTACGTGAACTTCGCAACGCTAATAAAGCCCACCTGATAGGAATATCTGAAACCTGGATATCTTCTCAGTTCTTGGACCAATAGTCAGCATTACCTGGGATGACTTTGTTCCGCAACGACAGAACAACAGGAATTGGGGGCGGAGTAGCCATATACATAAGCTCTTGCTTGGAGGTGCACCAAGTTTACAACCTCGAGTTTAACAATCTTGAGGAATCCATATAGTGCTCTGTAAGATTGTCTAGTACTTCGAGGTGTTTAGTCGGAGTGATTTACAGGAAGCCAACTGCCGACATCGAGTACGATAGTCGTATGCTGGATGGACTATCCCGCTCTACCCGTCTCGGTTTCACACATATCCTGATTCTAGGGGACTTTAATCTCCCTAGAGTCAACTTCGTGGAACACACATATACTGGAGGTGACAACTCAGTTGAAGCTCGGTTCTTCAACCTCATCGATGACTTGGGCTTATATGAAAATGTGAGGTCGGCAACTCGTTGGAGAAACAGTCAGACACCATCGCGGTTAGACTGTGTATTCACAAACGAAGAATTCCTAGTTGACAACCTCTCAATCCTGGCTCCCCTGGGAAAGAGCGATCATGCCGTCATAGCCTTCAGTTTTGTCACCAAAACTAAGCTAAGGTATCCCAACAATAATTTGCGTTGGAATTTTAAACGGCTGAATGTGCCAGCTCTACATGACTATCTACAACAGGTGGTTGGAGATGTTCACCCCCAACTCGATGTGGACGGTCATTGAGACTTCTTACTGCAAACGCTCTTATGTGCTACAAACCATTCAGTTCCTCAAACGGTTCCCAAAAACTGTAAGCCACCTACAGTAATCAAGAACCGTACCCTTCGCCTGCTAAGCCGTAAAAGGCACTGTTGGGCGGAATACAAACGAACTAATAACGACGGAGCGTATAGGCAATATAAACATATCAGGAACATATGCACGAAGGCTATAAGAGAAGACAGGCTTCATTACCAGACAAAGCTTATGAACAAATTTGCCTCTAACCCTAAAAGCCTATTCCGTTATGCAGCCTCTCTTCGTCAAGCCAAAACAGGAGTTTCTCAACTGCTAGGTCTTAACGGCCCAACCAACAACGATGGTGACGCCGCTAACCTTCTGGCGGCACATTACTCTCAAACATTTCAGCCGGCTGACATCAACTTTATTGACGACAGTTTCATCTGCAATTCCACATGGCTTTCCGAAGCGGACCTAAACGCTGACTTGGTGTTCCGGGAACTGCAGCACTTAAGACTAGATACTTCTCCTGGCCCGGATATGGTTCATTCTGCCATACTGAGGGAGGCAGCCTCAATCCTGCCAACGCTGGCTAGCGTGATGTTTTCACACTCGCTAAGCCAAGGCAAACTACCGGAAAATCGGAAGTTGGCTCACATCACACCAATTTTCAAAGGGGGTCGACGCAATGAACCTTCAAGTTATCGGCCGGTGGCTCTTCTGTCATTACCTTCAAAACTCATGGAGTCCCTGTGTTGGGATATTCAGGAAAATATCCCAGAAATTATTCTATTAAGTCTAATGCTATTCTTCGACTTGGACATGGTATGATTTTCTTATTGGTCAGTACTTATTCCACGTGTTATTTTCCTACTGGTCAATATTGTACAATGTTATTTCCTATTTATGGTACTTTGTGGTCTGCTTGACTGGTATATGAACAAAGTATGTTTGAAATATAATGATTCATATATTCGAGGCTGAGACTTGCGTTCTGGACTCAACTGCTGGGCTAGATAGGGAAGCGGGACCAATCAGAACCCTAGGTCGTTCTGCATGTTCGTGCGTCTTTGGTCCGATCGATAATTCCCTACCCTCAAATCTGCTGCCGTCACAGTTATAGCACCCCGATATGCGATGGTTTAAACGACTATCTACTGTCCTAAAATTTCTTCTCACCCCAACAGCATAGTTTCAGGAACGGTTACTCTTGTATAACCAGCCTGCTGACTGCGGTGGATAGATGGACAAGCATCCTCGATCGCAAGGGAAAGATTGATATCATTCACCTTGATTTCTCAAAAGCTTTTGATAAAGTTAACCACTTGTGTTTTATCAATAAGCTCAAACGACTAGGTATCAAACCATCTCTAATCGATTGACTTACTTCATACCTAGAAAATCGACACTTTAAGATTAGGGTTAATTTCACTTTATCTCAGGCTATGGAATGTCCTAGTGGGGTCCCCCAGGGCTCAGTGCCAGGGCCTCTCCTCTTCTTGATCTACATAAACGATCTTCCTCAACAGGTAACGTCAGACTTATTACTTTTTGCCGACGACGTGAAACTTTGGAGAGAGATACGCAACCAAGACGATACACAGGCACTTCAGGAGGATCTGACTCGACTTCAAAGTTGGACTTACCTTTAACACTTCAAAGTGTAAAGTAGTTCATCTGCGACATGTCGCAAACTACAGTTACAACTTAGGAAACTCCTCTCTAGTAGTATCCCAAGTCGAAAAAGATTTAGGAGTCCTGGTGCCTCATGATTTAAAGTCTTACGCTAATTGTGACAAAAATGCCTTCCGAGCAAACCTTGCACTGGTAACATTGAAGCGCATTTTTGGCCAGTTTGACGGAAGAACTTTCCATACAATCTTCAATAGTTTTATCCGTCCCCATTTAGAGTACGGAAACATAGTACTCCCACCTCACTCCAAAGGGACAAGGTCACTTTGGAGCGTATCCAACGGCGAGCCACGAAATCAGTTCGAGGACTCAAATCTAAGCCTTACGAAGAACGCCTCTATTCACTGGACCTTCACCCATTAGAGTATAGGCGTCTAAGAGGTGATTTATTAATGGCTTATAGTATTCTTAACACTTCTGGACATCCTCTTAAACACCTACTTAAGCTTAGTTCGAATAATAACCTAAGGGGTAACACCCAGAAACTGGAAACTCAACATAGCAAGACGGAATGTAGGCACAACTTCTACTCCTTAAGAGTTGTCAAAAGCTGGAATTCGCTGCCGGCCGAGCTAGTCCAAGCGACTTCTGAGGAATCCTTCAAGAGGCAACTTGACCTATTCTTAAGGACCAAGGACAGTATCACACTATGATTTACCAATTTCTTTTCCTCTTTTATTGTTAACATACCTAGGTTCCTGCCTGGAGGATTTGGTGATCCCGTGCTACTAGACACGGAAGCCTGTTAAGCGAAAGCTTCTTCTATTCCGTCCACAACCATTTGAACCATTTGACTATCGACTTTCCCATCGAATCATCAACGAGTGGAATTCACTACCTCAGCACGTGGTTGAGGCTCCATCCGTCGGCTCTTTCAAAAGAAAGTTGGATCAACTGAGAGACCACCATTGCCAGGACTAACATAGGCCATCGAGCCTCCTGTCCTTCCCAAACTGAAACTGAAGCTGTTTGTGACAGCGCAATTTTTAATGTCTGCGGTTTGGCGTGTTGCCGCAACCCATCCGAAAAAGCTTGTTGCTGGGACACTATGTTTAGTCTATTGTTATAAGTTTACGGGGGAAAAATATCGGTACGTTCTTATTTAACGCCTGCTCATGCAAATAGAGACTACGTTTTGCACCGAGAAATATGCTCCCATGTTTCTGTAGGTCACTCACCTTTGCCTATGATTATGTAGTCAGAAAATTACAAGACCGTTAATAGCACACAACCTCTACGCAGCCTGACTGTGTTTGTAAATCCATTCTCGCGTCGTGGGTATGTGCTAATATTCTATTTTCCAGAGGACTTTTAAAAGAGTTTGAAAACAATGCTGCTCCTATTTTAAACCTATCTGGTCTTGACGTTAAAATGGTTTATCTGGACACCGATTCTGAAATAAAGGACTTCATAAAAGTGCTAGATCCGAGCAGTACTGACGGCGTTTTAGTTGTTGGAGACGACAATTTGATCCAAAAAGTATTTTCCTTGTCATAACGCACATTGTTTAGGCAGTTACAAGTTTGTTATCCCGGGACGATTTTAAAGTAAGTTGGATCTTATAACTAACAAATCGTCACAGACTACTCCTTTGTGGTCATTGCCAGTCGGAGCGGTGCCCGTAGGTATTTGGAATGGGCTTATAAACTCTATCTGTGAAAAAACAGTTGTTCCTAAGTAAGCTAATATAATTTATCCTTGTATAATTTCTATCCCCTTTCATATTTCAATGTTCTTGACTTTTATTTTGAATTTGAGCATGATATTAGTTACTTTGATCTGAATAGGCGTGGATAGGTAATATTAAAAAGAACAATCTAATTCATCAAAGTCGTTGAGTATATGAAATAAATGTTTGTTAAGTTTATTGCTAACAAGCAATATTGAGGGTTATTTCAGGATCTGGCCCGTAACGAACTTCATACTATACTTCATCTTTTGGATTACTGATTGACATATATATTTGGCATATATATTTGGCGCACTCCTGTACCAATATATGTGTTCAAATAAATAAACTACTACTAAAGGATTTGAATCGACAACTGCATCTCGGTGCTAATGTGGTATGGCAACTCGAACTGATGTACGTACGTACGAAGTTCTGTGTCGTTACTGACTGGCTGATTGAAATTTTTAGAATCTGAATGTTTTGATGAATCCGTTTGTTCACTACTTAACCTTTCATCAAATAAATATCAAAGTCTAACATGTCTAGTTTGTTAATGTTTATTATAATTGTTCTTATATGCTCACACATTGTAGATGGTTTTACAACGTTTTACATTCTGTCCTACAACAGAATACCAAAAGGAGAAATGTTTTGGAAGTAAAAGTTATTTCAGACGTGAGTTTATAGTTTTAGTAAATGTCGCTTTTTTCTCTGATTAATTGTTCTCTGTGATATACTTTTAATCTACACAGTTTTATTTATTGAATCCACGTAAAACCTACTACAACTTTGCATTACGAATAAAATGGAATTTTAACACATAATAGTTGGAGTTACTCATATTGTTAGTTCAACTCCCATAAACTACTAGGTGTTTTGTGAGTATACTTCTCATTTTACGTTTAGAAATCGGTTGATTCATAAATCGAAGGATAAATAGTCATGTATGTGAATATGTTACATGCTCTCCTAATTTCATTATAACTTTAGTTATTTGAGAGAATTTCCCTTAAAACGTTTATTTTAAAGGTTCATGTAATATATCGAGTATTTAATGGTTAATTTATACACCGTATAAATTTTTTGGCGTATTTTCGTGATGTGTGCTGATTGAAAATCTCTCAGTTCCTAAATTAATTAATTAAATCAATGTATCACTGATGTTAAATGTATTTGTAATTCTACTGGATCTCAATCAGAAAAGCCTCTCTACAACAACTGAATTTCTTACTGTAGTTAGTCAAGCATAGGAGAAGATAGAAATAGTCTCCTTCATTGGTTAAGAAAGGAAGTAAATGTGGATAAATTAAAATAATCTAGAAAAGCTGAAAAATTAGAGGCATATGTTAACTAGTGTTTTATCATCTTCATAAACAATGGGCTTACTAAATTATTTGTAAATCAACTGATTAGTACTAGAAATTATCAGTATTTGTTCTTAAACCTCATGAGAATACAACTTATTGTGTAAACACACTTGGTGACATATGCGTCCAGTCTGAATTCTGTATTCATCCTGGCTACATCACAAAGTGATCTATGCCATTTAAAAAGCTTTTTAAAGTAAGCAATCTAATCTACGAAATATCATTGTTTTACACATTTCTTACCTATCATGTAATTTTTACATGGAAATCATTTTATTTAGGTGACTTATAATGTTTTGAAATCGTTTGTTTATAACTTTTCAAATAGGATAGTCAACCAATTGAACAATCAAAGGCGTCATCTGCGAATACTTATTCATTATTAGGTATTGAATGGAACATTTGGAGAGATATAGAACTTGGTGGGGGTTGTGGTGTTAGTGATAGACATAAAAAGCCAACAAATCCTAACGATCACCGTGGTGTACTCACAACACTTTCAGTTTCATCTCCTAGATCTTGGAGTCGTAATTTGGGTGCATTGTGGAGATCTACTTGGTATTGGCTTCGATCATCTGAAAACAATGCTCAAATATATCCTCATAGTGATTCTAAAACTTCATCGAATTTTTTCGCAGATTCTTCAGTCACTATATCTGAAAAAAAGCTGGAAAAAAGTCGTGTGAAATTCGCTCGCCTTACTTATACTCCAGTTTGTACAGGATGTTCGAAATGTTGGGAGAAGAAGCTAATGGTAAGTACCTTATCATATTTAGACGCCTACTTACTAATACTGATCGATTGTAGTGGTTACATAAGAGGGACTGGAATTTAGTCAGAACCAAGGACTAGACAAGCACAAGATTAATTACTACTTAATGATGAACCGATGTGTATATCCTAGTTTTATCTGAAGTCAATCGCCGTATAAACGGCTCATCACTATATCTTAAATTGTGACCTAGTAACTTGTGTTCAGATCGTGTGTGGAGCACCGGTTCCCTCAAGATTGAAATTGGCACGAAATCTAGGTCCAGGGTTTCCTGTCGGTTACCTACAACAGCCTAACATGACATAGCTTATCGATGACGAAATATAATAGTCCGGTTTTTCCCCTCACTCAGATGTTTTTTTTGCCATCAGTCTTTAGTATTTAATATTATTAAACTAGCGACAAATTAATTTCCTCTTTTATTTTTATAAATTAGTTTGACTATGATAATCATTAGTAATACATATGTTGTCACCTCATTTTAGTGTATACATTTCTATTAACATGTTGACTGGTGATACATGGAAATGTTTCATCAAATCAAAACCACAAAATCAACTGTTTTTATTAATTTAACAATTATTGCAACAAAATATTCTCTAAATACTAGAAAATAAGTCAGTTACGTGAATTTCAATGATAATACTTCGTGTTCTGCTACTCAGGAACTCAGTGACAAATAATATAATTCGTACTATAGTTAGCTTTTCATTTTTCTCTGTTCTAATTCCACTCAATTCAGTCTAATTTTAAATTGCTTCCTAATGTTTGTCAAAATGGTTTTTATTCAACAAATTTCTTTGAAATAACCATCTTTATTTTTGATGGACAGAGTTATAAAGAATCTGGTGTCGAAGTAAATGCAAAGAAATCATCATCTCTATTAGGAAGAATATTTGGATTCTCACTAAGCAGTAATAATAACAAATCAAATATTGATGAAGTGAAAAGTATAGAAATTCAACAACAAATCAAAGCTAAGAGTTCCATAGACAATCCTGCATGTGAAGAACTAAAGGAATTAATCGTTGAAAAGGCTTCTGGATTCACAATCACTCCAGAAGGAGTAAGTCTGTGTATGGCAGTAAATTTATGAGTTTTATTGTTATAAAAACAGGTTTGTACCAGTTTCATCATTATTCAGTGACTTGAATAGCCGTAAACGATAATTTTTCTTTATTGATTTTTTACCATCCTATTTGTAAAATGGATATCAAATCAATCTGTATCTGTGTCGGAACACTAGTCATTGGTTAATGGGGTAGTGTATCTTCATCAATGTATGCCCAACGACTGTCTGTCTCGATGGGCAATGTTGTCTGGTGTAGTAGGCTGAAATAAGGCTAGGGGAGATCAAACCAGAACGTGACTGTCGAAACCAATGATCACAGATTGTGAGTGATATGGCTCCGACTCGTGCTCAGTGGCACAGGTTCATACACTTTATTTTCTCTAAATCCTATGCCTTTTTGTTTCTTCTCTACACCTAATCTTTTTGGTTACTAATGATGTTGTTAATACTTCTATAATGCTGATATTTGTCTTAATAATTCTATCTCTGTGTGATTATGTTATATGGCAACTCGAACTGGCACACATGTGTCAGGTTCTACGTTATATGTGACTAACTGACTGGAGCATTAGCCTCAGTTATACATAAGAGATCGCCTCACCAATCCAACTAAACGTTATGGGAGTGGTAGATTGGAGTATGTAGTCAAACATTATTAACAAGTCATTGTGATCAGGACTTGTTTCTTTGGTATATTTCAACAAGGAAGACATCATGGAGTATTAGTGAGGAATTAATGTAGTATGTTTATTTGTGCTTAAACTTATATGCTATGTTAAACTTGTCACCTTTGGTAATCAATCCAATTTCGAAATAATCTAATCTGTTAACCGAATTTAGTCACTGAAGTTAATGGTGTATTCTGAATGAAGTCAATCAGCTGTATGGTGACATTTGTTGATGTATGATTGAAAGCATCTGGCAGGTTATTCTAAATGAAAATATCGTTTTTACCGACAATCACTACTTAGGTTCATTTTCGATCCTTAGCAAACTAATGTTTTATGTCTTGTTAATACATATTTCCGATAATTCCTTACAAGCATATAATCCTGCTCATGATTTCCTGCTGATCGCTTCTAATGGTTCTACATAATTCTTTCTTATCTGCCTAAGTATTCAGTGTATGTCTTCTAGCAGTAGTTCAAGTTCACTAGTTTTTTCTTACGGAGAAAGCAATAAAACAGAAGTCAGAATCTTATTGTTACTTTTATTATCTATCGATTTCCATTTATTAGTCTGTATGCAATTATTTTTTGTGTTCGACAGTTAGTTTATCTCATTTACTAGGCCCAGGTTAGTGTACTTACCTTCAAGCTACGTGCTGAATGTGAAAGCTAACTATACTAACCAGTTGCCTTAATTGATGCAGTGGGACCAGGGTTATAAATCATTCTCTTGGTCTGATATTAAATATAACTGATCATCCAAACCTCATTAGATGGAGCAGGGTTCGAAACCGTAATTCACTGGTTGAAATTGTTTTGACCTGAATAAATAAATCACATCCTTACGAACGCCTGTATTTTTTGTTTTAATGAATACTACACCATAACCAATCCTTATCTCGATTATTCTGTTTAGTAACTCATACTAGGAGTGGTGATGAAATATGATAAGTGGACGTTTTTTAATGAATTATTGTATGGATAATCGTAAATCAAAATCTGTATTCAGTCACTCAGTAACAACGTAGAACTTCGTGCGTACGTACATCAGTTCGAGTTGCCATACCACATTAGCACACAGATACAATTGTCGATTCAAATTCCGTAGTGGTAGAGATGGTAAGAGTATAAGCAATAATCGGGAACACTAGGGTTTTAAGATGTTATTCAAGGAGAATAATTTAGTGAAATAAATTTGAAGACGGAAAAAAAGAGACGTGAATAATTCAGAAGATTAGAATTTGGGAGAACACAAAGAGTGGATGCACCTGCGTCATTACAAACGATTTTGAGCCATGTCATTCAAGGTATCTAGCCATCGGTTGCTATCGTCTCTCGGATTCCAACCAGTTAATGTACACCTACTAACATGACTTAGTCCACTTGTCGGTGTCTTCATGGATTTGTGCCATGTGTTGGTCTGGCCGCCCCTCACTTTTTTCCAACCTACTCCTACACCATAAAACATCGCACGTCGGGGCAGTTGGTGGTTGGGCATACGTAACACATGTCCCAGCCATCTTAACTGATCAAGTTTCACTATGTCATCAATCGATTTACCATCTTACCTAGTGTTCGTTTCCTAACAACTGCATCACTTATTCGGTGGTCCCAGGATATAAGAGCAATGCTTAGAAGACACTTTTGATCGAATACTAGTAGCATACCAATATCCTTTACTCTTACCGGCCATGTTTCACAACCATAAAATAGGACGTAACGAACTGCTGCGCAGTAAACCTGTCCTTTGATTGGTAGACAGATATTTCGCCCACACTATAAATGACGCAAGTTGGCAAAAACTATTCAAGCATTCTGTATCCATGCTGGGATTTCACCACACACCAGACCACAAGGGCTGATGAGACTCCCAAGATGAGTGAAGCGGTTGACGCGCTCAACTACTTCACTCCCTATCATTAGTTCGGGTGTCGATGCAACCCAATCCTGAAGCAAAATTTTGCATTTCGAGGGAGAGAATCGCATCCCGAAAATGCTTGCATTGTTTCGTATAGTGATCAGAAGACTGGATTTTGTCAGCGTCTCCACCAAATAGAACTATGTCATCGGCATATTCTAGGTCAAAAAGTGAATCTCCTGGTAGAAGTGGAACCCCTGGGAATTTAGATTAGGAAAGTGTTAAACAAGAATGGAGAGAGTGGGCAGACCTGACGAGCGCCACTTGAGGTTATCAATTCTGATGACAGTTCGCCATGAGCTCTCACCCGACCAGTTGTGTTTGAGTAGAGAGCCTTTACAAGGTTAATGCACTTCTTTGGTACTCCTTTCAATGACAAATACTGTCATAGAACCTCACGATCAACAGAGTCGAATGCTGCCTTAAGGTCGAGAAGTACTACTATGGTGGGGCGTCTGAATGTGTTTCTATGTTCTAGGACCTGACGTAGTGTGAATACCTGGTCTATATAGCCACGTCTAGGTCGGAAAGTAGCCTGGTTTTCTCTAGTCTGCTCTTCACGAGCTTTAGTTAGGCGTCGAAGTATTATTGAAGCTAATGTTTTTGAACATTATATTAGTCAAACTGATTCCTCTGTGATTGTCACGAGAGGACTTTTGTCCTTTCTTATAGACTGGTACATTCTGTGATTGAGACCAGTCAGATGAGGTTACCTCCAGATCCCAGATTCTACCTAAGACCTCGGCCAATGTCACTGCTAATACTGAACCACCATCCTTGAAAATCTCAGGAGTAAACCTGTCAGGACTTGCTGCTCTTCCTCGTTTCAGTTTTCCTATCTGTTTTTCAACTTCGTAAAGAGTTGGAGAACTTGCATCAACTTGCCTTTACTAGCAGATATCACTGCCGTTTTCACAGCTTCTCGTATAGCATTCCAAGCTGCCTCAGTGTGGGTATCACTTACATAACTGCCTAATTGTGTTTCTAGTTGTTCCTGAAATATATACTTAGCTTGGTTATCATTAAGGAGAACCCTGAGAGGTACTGATTCTAAGCATGTGCTCCAGAACGAGTGACAGTCTTCTGTCTAGCTCCTCCATCGGTGGTTGATAGCTATGTGATCCAGTGCAGTTCGACGTTGGTACGAATTCGGTGGTCGCCATGTTAAAAGATATTTTCCCTTATGCTTAAAATCAGTATCTGCAAGAAACAGGTGGTTATCTGAGCATAGCTGCAATAGACTGTCACCATTATCTGTTATTCGAGCCACGACACGATAAAATGCACCCATGTGTCTTTTCTTTTCGCTTAGTTTACCTACTTGAGCATTAAAGTCACCAGCCACTATTACTGCATCAGAACGCCTAACGTTTTAGAGGTCAGAAAGCTTTCTGTAAAACTAATCTTTTAACTCATCTGAGCTGCAGTTAGTAGGAGAGTAAGCGGGGAAGACGAAGAGGCAACGACGATTGTTCCTATCTTTCCGGGTTTAGTAGAGCGTGGTTTCAGGAGACCGAGAATAACATTCCGCACACTCAAATCGTTTGCATTAGGGGCACGAGGTGATAAAGGAACGTGGGAAGGGTCAGTCATATAGATAAGAAAGGTATTAGGAGGTGAAAATCTGTGTTACTATGTGTGTTACAAGTGAATAAGTGATTTAATTAATTAGATTAGACAATCAATGGTCCGTTTCACGTTTAAATACACACTTGGTAGTTTTGTGTAATCCATTTAAATATGTACCAATAAAAATGTATATGTCTGTAGGATCACATTCGTTTGGATATTTTGCGTCGTTCCACCAGCTATTGGGATCATATTCGACAGTTTCGTTCATGGCTCCTTTCTCAACCGTATTCATTTAAATCTGGTAGTCAGGTAGTATTGTGTGATAAATTGCGTTTGTTTCCTGGTCAAACTGAGGTGAGCTTTTTTCGTTTCTCTATTATCAAACTGTTATTAAGCTAAACCATATCTTTATATTGTTTCATGAATGTTTGTTTACAATATTTATTTGTTCGTTCGTTTGAACAATAGGAGCCTTGTGCTGAAATCTTAGTGTTTTCGTTGATGAAGAGACAAGCGGAGATTATATACTGGTGAATATTTCTTAGTGATGTAATTCTAGTAATAGAGTTTGGAAAGTTATGAAAAATCAAGGCATCAAATTAGTCCGTGTTGTTGATTATCTAAATTTCTAAACTGACAAGCGAATTAATGTAGCTTCTAAAATTTCTAAAACGAGGTTTTTTAATTGTTCGACTCAAATTAAACACAATCGAATGATAATTTGGTAATTGTTAAAAACTTGTATCTTATTGTTCCGTTTGTTTAGATATCTAAATTTTTCAAAAATTAACTGTTAGTAGCTAATATGTAATTTGATGAAGGTCCGCTATTTACATGTTTTGCGTTATCACCTCTTATAACTAACGTGGTCCTCGAATACTGTGACTTGTTCTATGTATCGATTTGTATAGTCATTATCAGTGGTTTTTTGTACTTAATTCTATCTTTAATTATATAGTATATTGGGTTTTTTTTCTGTTAATTCGTTTGTTCACTTTAAATTCTTTCTCTGTTACTCAAAATTTATAGAACGAGTTTTATTGGATTGACAACGACTACTTTGAGGCCCACCCAATTGAAGTGAATTTGCGCCGCAACGCTATCAATCTTTTCATGTAATTTATTACTTTCACTTAAATAAACTAGATCGGTTTTCCTATTTTAATGTATAATTGAAGGTTTTGTTTTCTCTCTGATTGGGAACTCAATTTTTACATTGAAAGCAGTCCCATTACTTACTTACTTACTTACGCCTGTTACTTCCAATGGAGCATAGGCCGCTGACCAGCATTCTCCAACCTACTCTGTCCTCGGCCTTCATTTCTAGTTCCATCCAATTCTTTTTCATTTTTCTCATGTCTATCTCAATTTCCCCGCGCAATGTGTTCTTTGGTCTTCCTCTTTTCCTTTGTTTAGCCTTCAAGATTCCATATAAGGGCTTGTCTTGTGACGCAGTTGGGTGCTTTCCTCAGTGTGTGTCCTATACACTTCCAGCGCTTCTTCCTGATTTCTTCCCCCGCTGGGAAATCAGGAAGCAGTCCCATTATATAGACGTAATTGAGCAAGTGGCGAGTTGTGTTGTAATTTGAAAGTATACCACACTAATTCATTACATATCTCATAAGGATATCTGGCTTCATGGTTGAAATCTGCCAGGAGTCCATGGTACAGTGCCAATTCATCCATTTTAGTTGGTTACGTTGAAGTCGAGCTCTGTTCCTTTTTGTCTGTCTCATAGTTGGTTTTATACTAAAAGAATATTGCTTGACAGACTTGTCGTGTTTTTGTTATGGAAGGTTTCTAGTGCGTTAGCACCATTGTTATTATTTTTATACAGGCATTGTGAACCACTGTTGCTGTTACAAATAACTTGTCGTGTAGTTCGTCTGTGCTACTATCAGTAAGTGGCATAGGAGTCACAGTACTTGCTGTTTAAAGTTTACTCATTACTGCCGGTGTGTAATTACTGATCATTTTCGACTTTGAATATTCCATATAATCTTTTTATTGGATCAACCGACAGTGCTACAAACAGGTCAGTGGTGAGTTCTGATAAAGTTAATGGAGGGCCTGTCTGTAGTATCATTAAGCGAAGACTAAGAAGCCAGTTGTGTTACATAGATCCCGAGAATAAGTAACTTTATAGGTCTATAGTGGTAACGTCGATCACACTTAACAAAAGAATCGTGAGAACATATACAAGAACCAGTGATATCATATGTGATAACACATCGGCCTATAATCATGATAAACTGTCGAGTCATGCCACTCTGTTTCCCGCTTCAATGGATTTTAGGTCGTAACATAGGAAGGAATCTGGAGAGTAGCAGTCACGGATGTTTCGTATTCGTTATTCTCTTTAAACCCAGACAATCAGCTTTCCCATAATTACAATCGAGAAATAAATAAATCGATTAGGGGAATCGACTCGACGTTTGACTACTACCCATCAGTTGTATGAAGACCGTTTCCATCACAGTAGATTGTCTACCATCTTGAGTAAAGAATCGTGGTCAGACAGCAAAATACCTGTCTATCATGAATAAAGTTTTTGTTTTTCCAAGAACACCTATTCAATATATTTTGGTTTCCGATGAATTCAGGTCCTGGAAGCCAATATCATTGTTGTCGCAGAAACTTGGCTCACCTTAGATGTAGACTGTTCTACCATCATTGCATTCTGCATCCGTATTGGAAGTGATAGAGTTTTAAGTCGCACGGGAGGAGGCATAGTGTTATGTGTTAGGGATCACTTTCGTATACAATCAGTTGTATCGGAGGCGCATGTTAGTGGCACATGTGAGGTAATATGTTGTACAATTACGCCTAGAAACGGGTTAGTGGCTATAGAAGGAATGTACCGTAGTCCGTGTTTTCTCGTTGACGACTTTACCTTAAGACACAACTGTTCTTGGAGTAAAGCAGGATGTTGTCTCATCATTGGAGATCTCAACGCACTGCATATTGACCGGACAGAGCTTACATATCCGGGTGGAAGTTTTCGATAACGACCTTCGACCAACCATCATTCAGTGTTCTCGTGTATCTGCTCCACTCGGACCCAATATCTGGCGAGCTAATATTCCGGCAATCGACAGACTAGTTGGTCGATGCGGATGGATAGTTCAAAGACGAATGGAATAACTTTGAGGCTACATTCGAACTCGTAATATCACCGTTTATCACATGGTCAACACGTAAGCTATTACATTGTGTCCTCCATGGATTAAAGAAGAAACCCAGAAGTTGTTGAAGCGCAAGAAGCACTTCTGGGACTCATTCTCGTCAATAGGACTTGCATGATTTATGTGTGAATATAAAACAATCCGGAATACATGTAAATTCCGTACTACTTACGAACGACAGTTGGCATATTGCCGTACTTGTTTGAAACGATTGTTTTCGTGTGTTAAACGGTGGGTGAAACGTAGTGATGGTATTCTCCCGTTACTGTAACACGGAAAATCAGATTTACTAGCTGAATCAGATCGAGCAAAGTCTAAGAATTTAAAAGTATCCATTGGATTGTATTGTTACAAGTACTTGTCCTTATAACATCGCTTAGATATCAGCCATAAGATCCGCACATGTGACTGAGGAAACTGTTCTCTCATTGGTAACTAATCTAGAACCTTGTAAGATACCGAGCTGTGATTCTTTACATCCACGACTGATGTCATCTCTCGCAGAAATCATTTCAAGAGCGCCCTTGACGCTCTTCAACATGTTTCTTTCACTTGTTCAACTCCCTAGAGATTGGAAAGATGCTTTGGTCAGTTCCATATTTACGGATGGACAAAAGAAAACAGACTAGTAGTGACAGGTCTTTATTTAGATCTTCGCGCATTCACAGAGGAGCGTGGGATTACCTGTTCGAACAAACAAAGTCTCTCAACATTCAATATAAGATAGTAAGAATTATAACGCCTATGCAAAATAAGGAAGTGAACGAATGCTTGAACTTTACTGTTTTGACATATGCCTAGTTGTTTAAGGTCCACTCTTAACCAATCAACCTAAACTGTTACACATCCCTTCCATGAGTTCAAGGACATTAAGATTTAGGAGTAATAATAAGTCATGACTTAAAAACAACTACGTGTTGCAACACAGCTGCTGTCAAAGGTTATCATGCGTCATCGTCACTTTGCCAAACATTCAAATGCTCTGACGAGATGCTTGAAATTTTATATCCCATCTGTGTAAGTTCACACTTAGAGCACTGCATCCAAGCTACTGGTCCTTGTCTGATAAAGGATACTAACTCACTTGAGCGTGTTCAGTGTATGGAAACTAAATTAGTGAAGGGTGTTTCTAAACTCACTTACGATGAGCGCTTAAAACGCCTAAACCTTTTCCACTTGTCGTATCGTAGAATGAGGGGTGAATTTATACTGGAATTTCGTAGCTTTAGTTATGATTTAGGTGTCAATATTTCTTATCTTTTTGCTCCCTCCATCATTAATGATCTCTGAGGTCATAGCAAGAAGGTTTACAAATCGCGATCTAATAAATTTAAAGTGAGGTCGCGTCGTTCTCATCGAGTAGTCAATGTCTGGATCGCCTTACCCAAACAAGTGATATCAGCCCCATTAGTGAATATTTTCAAGGAGAATCGGAACCTTCACCGGAAGCCACTTTGTTAGGATTAATGCTGGTTCACCAACCTACTATCCTTAATATTGAAAACTGAAGACTGAAACAAATTATTTTGAGAGCGTACTTTTCAAACTGTACGTTGCGTTTGTAAGTTTTGTTTTTAATGGTCATCAAGCGTTCATTATAATTATTCTCAATCAACTTCCTAATCTTTGACATGTGAGAATCCCAAAATATCTTATACTTTGTCGAATGTCCCTGTTTTATCGTAAGGTTTCTTTCTATTCACTAATGTGATTTTAATATTTAGACAGCATGCACACTTGTAGTATTTTTTTCCCCTACTTATGGTGTCTTTTGCGTCTCTAAAGCTCATCACTTGACTTGAGGTTATGATGTGTCTGTTGTATGAAGTGCTAAGTGTTTCGGATGATTCATTGCTTCGTGCGATGAGTTCCTCAACTTTGAGTAAATTTTCAGGACATATCATGGGAACTTCAAATGTTTGTTCAGAAAGTTCCTTATACAATGGCGGAACTACGTACAATTAGTTCTAGGATCGGCTTTTTTTGTCGTGACTCTAACAAAAAATGGGATGGTAATTGACATTTTTTATTATGCAATGGGGGATGAGGGGAGTCTGCTCATTCAGTGTTAACACTGGATGGGTTACATAGTTCAACGCAAAATGAAGAATGTGAAAATTTAATTTATGGACAGCTTTTGAGAAATGTCAAGGTGAACTTAAAATACTTCACCTACTAGCTAGTGTCTAAAGAGCGTTATAATTTAGTGCGTGGAATTATAATTGTGACTTAAAATTGTAAGTTAGGGTTAAATATTAGAGTTAGGGTTTTTCTTATGAGGGCCACACCCCAAGCCTTTGATCTAGAGGTCTAGCCCAAAAGGCAGTTGGGCAGCGTCAGGAGATGCAGTCCCATGACACATGGTGACCATCAATAGGCGCATACGGCATTCGTTCCCTCAGGACCCTGGAGCCAGCCCATGTGCACCATTGGTTTGGAATCAGGGTTTTCCGACTACCCTAGATGTATCCTTCATATTCGCCAACCCGGTTAAAGCACCGGATATTCGCTTTTCGTCCTCTCACTTTGGTAAACAACACTCGTGGTGCGAGAAGGAAGTGAGTAGGACTTTCTTGTCAGTGGCTGTATTGATGTTACCATGTGAGATCATTTCATATTTTTCTTGCTGTCAAAAATCTTTAGTAGCCCATAGATTTTAGTTCTACAGATTTTCGAAGCTTATAGATTCGGTCAGCTAAAGTAATTTGTCAACTTTGTGTTTTTCGACCACAGCCCGATTATTGCTATAGTTTAGTTTTTAATCTGTACTTATCTAATGATTTGTACTTTTTCCCAACAGTTATAACATATTTGATAAAGATAAACTTTTGTCACTTCATAGTACAGTTGTTGAAGTAGTGTAGAACGGAAACATGGTCCTTGTTTTTACTAGCTGCTTAAACACCAACAGCATTGAAGTTTGTGGTTTGATATCTACCACCCGTTTTATAAGGAAAACTTTCTGCGTCAATAATCAAATCTTCACCATACAGTACAAAGAATCCAGTAAACGACTAAGATAAGGTACGGAAAAACCATAAAAATGATTAGAAAAAGAGAAAGCCATATGTTGAACACTTTCGGCTTTCTCGTCACTCAATTTAATTCTAATGAGTCTTTTTAATGTGGCTTTTCTTCGACCAGTGAGGTGAAAGCAGATGTATGCCCGTATTAGGGCATGGTCGGAGTCCAAGCAGGCATTCCAGAACAAGTGACAGTCTTCTATTGAGCCCTCCAACGATGACTGATGGCAATATGGTCTATTTGAGCCCATCGTTGGTTTGGTGCGGAGGGTCGCCATGTTATTATCTAAATACTTTTTCAAATGAGTGTTATAATTTAGTTGTCAGGATATCTTTCGTGTTACCTAAATGAAAGTTGTATTGTAACTGTATACTATGTCCAAATTCAAGTTGTAATTTACAAGACAACTCGTAGACATGTTAGACGATTCAGTACTATCTCACGGCTCTTGCATTTATTTATTTTAACATTCCAGACTTTTACTCATTAGCTTAAACTAATGCAAATAGCTTCGTTAGGTGATTTCAGTACAACGTGATTTCTAGCAGGCTTATTGTTTGATCCCTGCCGGGAAATCAGGTTGGTGTTTTTCATTTTCAGTCAGCTACTTTAAGCTCCACTTTTCTCCATTTCTCTTTTATTGTGAAACTCAAATTAGTTCACATATATTATCTCCGAAATTTCCTAGAAAGTGTTTCGGGTAGTTATACCAATCGAGCGAGGTTTAGTTTTTGGACGAATCGCAATTGAAACTTGGTCTCTTTTTCAACAAGCAGAATCAATGACATTTCCAATTTGTACAGAAAGTAATCACGCTCCATTTAAAGATCAGATCGACGATGAGACCGTAATGTTTGATCTGGATATGAGCGTGGATACTTTGCCTGATACACCCCTAAAGAATGATGATGGTGACTCGGACACACAAAAGACTCGGGTAATGCTCTCATAATATTTTAATAGATTGTATTTAGACGAATCAGTCCAGTAATTCTCTTTCCGCCACTCCTTCAAGACGTGAAAGTAAAATGAAGTCAGATATGTCTCGTTCTACTTCCATCTCAGGACTTACTGATAATGTTAACTTGGAGGACATTTATGAGTACGACTGGGCTGATAGTGACTCTGAATCACCTGGTGGAAAACATGAGAAGGAGTCATACATAGTTCAAGAAGTTCTTGCTGACTTTTTAAAGGTTGGTTTTATCTCTTACTTACTGTCGCTTTTTTCGTTCTAGAACTCAAGGTATTAATACTGTAATATTTTTATTAGTCGCAAATGTTTAGTTTAGGTGTCAGGGGTATGTTCGTTTATCACAGAAATAATCCTTTAGTTATTTATGACTGACGTTCTATCATCTTTAGTTCTATATCTTTCTGTTACTGGGCTCTCGTTTCTCAATGTATATTGTAGTAACTTCAGCTGAAATATGAGCCTAAAGATCTATTCAAATTTTGCTGGAATTTGGGGAAGAATAGATCAACATAGATTCCGCTCTTTTCAGTGCGTTGTGGAATAGCATTGCAGTAAATTAATCATTCAAAGGTCGAAAGATATCTGCAATAGGACACAAAAAAGGGATAAGGTAGGAAGGCATACTTAGTAAGAAACAATCAGTTTATTAGAATAAATAAAATAATAATCAGCACAATATTTCAAGAAGCATTCTCTCTGAACACTAGTCATCGTTGTGTAATCTAAATCCCATATTAACTTCTGCTGTTTCTACACTTTTTACATTAGAGGACATAAAAGTTATGATAAGTTTTTGTTTAAAACTGTAGAAATATATCTATGTAAGTGAAACAAATGGTTTTTATGATATAAGTTAAGTGTATGATGATGAAAACTCCATTATCTGTAAATTTCTACCGTTTTGATTGATTGCAGTATAACATTTTGTTTATGGCAATTGTTTACTAGATATTTTGAATTACCGTTTATTTTGTAACGTGTAGCTTATTTATTTATTTATTTCAACACATATATTGGTACAAAGAGGCACCAAATACATATGTGCCACACGAATCTCATTCGATATGTGTGAGGGCTGTGATACTGCCCGGGTGCCCAAACCGAAGCAGGTGGTTTTCTTAGGGGGCCACACCCCGAGCCTTCGACCTGAAGGTCTGATCGACAAGGCAGTGGAGCATCGTAAGGAGATGCAGCCCCATGGAAGCCGGTGACCAACAACTGGTTCATACGCCATTTGTTCCCGCAGGATACTGGAGCCAGTCCATGTGCACCGTTGGTTTGGAATCCGGTTAAAGCGCCGGACATTCGCTTTTCGTCCTCTCATTTTCGTAAACAACACCCTCACCACGAGAAGGCAGTGAGTAGGACTTCCCTGGCAGAGGCTATATACGCGTGGCCATGTGAGAGCATTTCGAGAGGGAGAGCGGACTCTCACCACTCTCGGCCGTACCAGGGCATTTGGGGGCAGCTGCAGCTAATCCATATTTATTTATGTCTCTTTATTCGTATGAATGGATGAACGTGAAGTCATGGTTAACTACAGTAACCAAAGTATCTCAGCAATAGTATGATTCAGTGTTTGAACGGTTTTTCGTAGGTAAAATGTTTGGATAAATTTGTGGTTTTTTTCGTATTACGTTTTATTAAGAACATTTGTATGTATTTTGTAAAGGATTTTATTCCTAATTTCGTTTCTATCAGATTTTCAAGCAGTTCTGTTGATGAACGTTTTTCCCTTTTTATTAGGTTAAATCTTTTAAACGCAAGTACCCTGATCTAGCTAGGCGCGCTATGGATGCTTATGAACGATCGTGGTTGCAACAAGAGGGGATTGTTCCCGTTGGTCGTGCAGACCTTGGTCTCACAGCACTCAAAACTGATGATGTTATGAAGCTTTTGCAACAGGATTACCCAGAGATACACATTGCTCTCACGGATTTGTTTCGTCGACGAAAATTTAAAACGGCTGTCGAGAATCAAAAGCGTCAGTATGAAGTGAGTTTGAATAGTAGAAGTCATTTTCTTGACCAAACAGCTTCTACTTTACAATTTCTAACTAATACAGCACCCAGCTGTGATTTTTTTAGGCAAATTTGGTTGAAGTGGTTATCAGCGGGCACTTCTAATGAATTATGTTCACTGTATCTAATGAAAGCACACTAAGGTATCAGCGAATTCTTTGAGATGAAGAGGGAATCCTTAGTTGATGGAATGTGCATACATAATACTTTGTTTGGTGTTATGTATTGCTTAGAAAATCGTGGTCTATAAAATCAAATGATTCTGTTAGGCTAAATAAAATGGATTGTATTTAGATACGAATGATTACACATATTTTCAGGAATTCTGAGAGGAGTGACTGTGTTTACCACACCTTTCATCAGATTCCGTTTGATTTATTTTTCCCAGAGAGCTGTCAAATTTTAGTTATAATTAGGTTATGAGATTTTAGGTCACACGTTTTGTGCGATTATTAGTAGTCATACCTGGTTTTGAAGGTTTAAGTGGATAGATTAAATGGAAATCATCTACATGGTGGTTGTAGTTCGACATTTGTAACTGAATGATATTATGCATATCAAATAATAAGATGAAGCCAATTTTCGACTCATTGAACCTTGTATGTTTATTAGTTTTCTGTCATTTGGAAGGCAGAAAAATGTACACATCAATCTAAGGTTACTGAGATATAAGGGTTTAAAGAATATAGTGTCCCTGGCATGAGAACTATCATCCTTTAGTTACTTAGATTCCTTGTATCATAATTTTTTCTGGAATGACTTTAAATTCTAAGGTTTAGGTTGAACCTATGTTTACGGTGTTAATTCTTTACATAGGCTGCTCGTATTGAACGTGGAGAGGCTCGAGCTGAAGCAGCTCGCAGACGAGCGTTAGATTCTGCTGCCGATTACAATCATCGCTTGATTACCGAACGTATGAGTTCAAGACGTTGTTATTGGGATTTACAGACAATGCAAATTCACATTCCCCAGAGAATTTATAAGTTATTAGAATACCCAACTTTTCCCAATGGTGCATATCCTGTGGCAGTCATACCTGGACAGTTTGCAGAATATTTTATGAGCTATACTCCTGAACAGTTATCATACCTTCCATTATCACGTGTTTTATATCCACATCCACTACGAAAACATAGAAATCCACCTCCTCTCCCCACAACACTTCGATTTGGTTCGATTAAGCCGAAAGTCAATCCACCTACTATGACCTCTTGTGATTTCGGTGATCAAAATTCATTTGGTTTAGACCATTCTAGATCTATTGACTCTTTAAACCATCAAACCACAAGCTCAATGGAAGGTCTTCGGACTAGATATGCAAACGGATCACTATTATCAAGTGGTGTTGCTAAGTAAGACCCTGGACATTTACAGTATCGCTGAATACTTGCATTTTACTTTAATTTTAACGTGTATAGACTTTTTTCATAGGACGTCCTGTTTAAAATTTTCACTAAGACATTGATCAATTGTTAAAGTAGTAAAGTGATACAATGCTCAAGAATTAAGCCTAGCGTTCAGGTCCTAATTGATTAGAGACTGAGTGACCTATAAACTATGGCATTTTATCATATTTAATTTGTGTTAATATTCTGTATATATGTCATTGTATTACATAAGAAAATCTAATTCTTTTGAGGTCTCATTCAGGAAGGCTGCTGTGCAAATCGGATTTCTCCCTCTAGTTAGCAAAGAGGAAAGAATATGATAGACGTGGAGTCGTTCACTGTATTGAAGTTGGAGTTGAAAAATATTAGATTATTACGAATATGTACTACAGATACGTTCGAAGAAGACATGAAAATGCTAACTGAAACATTGATATTAAACGGTTTCCCATTGACATTTACAAATCAGTATAAAAGTCAGTTAACATCAGAACCAATTCTTAATTCTGTTGCGTAAAAAGGTTTTATCATTCAGGGAAGAGTCGAGCAGCATAATTTTGAAATAGAGACTAAGAGTACCCATCGAGGATGTGCACTATGCTGCTAAATTAGTTATCATTGAAAAAATAAGGCCTATGATTCCACAGAGGCCTAATCATGTCACATGATTACGTCACGTCCCACTATATTTACCACATGTTTCTGTGGACACACACATGGGGAGGAGTGATCGAACAAGGATTATGGAACATGTACCCAAATGGCTCCAGATTCAGTTAGTATCAAATTCTCCAACAAACGTAGGAAATAGGAAACAGGCCATATGATCAAGATTAACACAGTTCTTAAAATGTTGCATAGGAAATGTCAAGAGTGAATTCTCGGGTTTATAAAAGACTAACGTATTAGGGAGTTCAAACTTCTCTTATCCTTATCTTAACCGTTGTTTTTTTCTGGTTATCTTCAATCCATTTTACAACCTAAGTTGGTTTAACATCTTCATATTCTTTTCATATCACGTCCATCAATGTTTTTCTTTCCTTTATTTTTATTTATCACTATATTTGTCCGACTTCCTGCTTAACTGATCATTATTCGTTTTCATTTATCAATGCTTTGAAAAGTATAGGCATGGTCAGATTGTTCGAAACGTGTAGCACAAACACGTCACATTTTTTAAGCCAAATATTTGTTCTTATTATTCCATCACGATTTATTAAAGGGACTAATTGCTCTAAATTACCGAAATTCGAAAACGAAGTAAATCAAAACGAAAAGTTGTTTTCATTAACTTCATTATCGTGCTCTAAAGTTATGGGTCATTAATTATCGTATTACAATGTTCAAAATAGGCCATACATTAGTGAATTAGACAATTTTATGTCTTTGACGTTTAACATAGGATAATTCGCTTGTGTTTACCTTATTTTGGCCATTATAATACAATCATTCAGTCATCATTAACATAGAGCCTGGCACATACTTATGTTAACCCAAGTTGATGTACCCATGTGGGACAACATTTAGAGCAAATAAGTTCGAAATAATGTATTAGCAATGACAATGAATAAGACCAAGAATTGAGATTGGAATTTGAAAAAACTGAATCAAAGGGTATAAACAAAGGAATACTGGAATTCAAAACAAGTGAAAAACAAAGAGTGGATGTGTCTGCATCATCATGAATTTCTAACAACACAATAACTATGGACTCATCACTGTAGAACCTTATGATAAAAATAACTATTCTCCTTAATATTTTCTGTTTTTAAATGTTCTATGGGGATTATTTGCTTATTACTTCCTTTCTTCAGTTCAAACATGTTAGTTGGTGATAAATCATCGGTTTCTGATGTAGAAACAGATAAAATCAGTAATTCGATCTATCGACGATATAAAACAAATACAGAAATAAATACAGAAAATCCTATTTGTGTTGTATGTGGCCAATTAGCTATGAATTATATACGTTGTTCTGAGTGTAAATTAATTGGTCATCCAAAATGTTTGGATATACCTGATTCTATGCTATCAGGTGTGAAAAGGTAAAACAAAATTTATTATTATTATTAACTCATATATATTGATTGTTTGAATCTTCTTATTGATATTTAGGACAGCGATTGATCAGCCTTTTAATTGGCACATGTACATCCCGTGCGGATTACCGCAATATTACCTTAGGTCATCAGTGTTATGAGCAGAGATAGATGGTGTCTATTTGGGATTCATCAGATAAATGTACCTGCAACCTAGAGTTGACGTACACACGGGAACTTTTTTGTATTTATTTGGACACATAAATATCGGTACAATGAGGCACCGAATATACATGCGTCACACAAGTCACTTGATTGGTGTATGGACTGTTATATGGCCCGGGTGCCCAGACCGATTCAGGTGGTTTTCTTATGGGGCTACATCAGGAGCCTTCGACCTAATGGTCTGATCCACAAGGCAGTGGAACAACATAAGGAGATGCAGTTCCATAGTAACCGGTAACGAACGATTGGTTCATACTCTATTTGTTCCTTGAGGATCCTAGAGTCAGCCCATGTGCACCATTTGTTTGGAATCAGTGTTTTCCGACTCCCCTAGGTAGGTCCTACACATCCACCAACCCGGTTAAAACACCGTGAATTCGTTTTTGGTCCTCTCAATTTGGTAAACAACACTCGTGGTGCGAGAAGGTAGTGAGTAGGACTTCCTTGGTAATGATTGTATGCATGTGGCCATGTGAGAGCATTTGCAGAGAGAGGGGTGGCTGACTCTCCCCACCCTCGGCTACACCTAGATTGATCAATTGCAGTTTTAAATATCAATGGGAAGATTCGAACAACCAATATATATATGAACTAGGATTACAACTCATCCGATTGCACAAGCCAACGGCTATTTTTACTCATTAGCTAAGTGGATAACGCGATAATGTTTGAAGCGAAAGGTACTGGGTTCGAGTGCCGGAGTGAACATCGACTCTTAGATGCAGACACATTCAGCTGAAGAATCCCGAGTGAGACGAAACGCACATCCTGGATTGCATTGCTAGCCACTATTAGTTTCTGCTTAAATATTATTGATTTTATTGTGAGAATAGATGCATAGTGGTTAGTATTTGAATCCAGGACTCGCGTTTCTTCCTGTTGGAGACTCATCAGCTGAATGTACCTTCACCCGTTGTTCACATTGATACTCGAACTCAATACCTTTTGCTTTAAACACCCAACGCATTATTCACCGAGTTGTATCAAGGAATCCACTTAGGATGCATGTATACCAACTACGACTGACCAAAATTCAGTCCAATTTATCAATAATTAGATACTTCAAATCTTTCCTGAATTAATACAATTGTATACTTGAATTCGATTAGTTTCTCCATTCACATTGTAGTTTACTGTTTTTCTAATTGATATGTTAAAAAGTTTTTTTACAATGATAATTATGGGTTAGTCATACAATCGAGCTCCTCAGGTGTGGAGTTTGAACACCTGCGACTGACTGGTTGAAAGCCGAGTTTGTGGAAACCGGGAAATAGTAGGATGACTGTTTAAAAGCAAGAAAATAATTTAATGATTCAAAACTACTTGAAGTAATAATAATAACAATAATAGAAAAATAATAATAGTGGGGGAAGCAGTTTATTTAGGAAAGATACATTAAGAAAGAATTATTTCAGTTAAAGAAGTTACATTCACTTTTATGACTTAAAATGTTGCAGCAGGATCACCTCTGACTTTTATTCTGAGCCATATCTGATAACATCTCCAGCTAGTGTTGCACTATCACTAGGACCCCAACCAGGGAGTCGTGAAGGACCAGCAGAAGCCAGTCCTTTACAGCTTTCTTTCATACCACGACACCGTGTGCACTGATCACTTCTCCGCTTTCTTCAATCTATTCCAGCGTCGGCAAATAATGCGCGATGTGGAATTCACTGGGACGACATTCGTAGGACATGTTCAGACCACCGAATTCTGTGTTTTATGATAGTGACACCGGTTGAATTTTTATGGTTGTGCCCGAACACACGGTGCCGAGTCTCTGCATTACTAACATGGTGCTGTCACTGGATGTCGGCACTCCTTCGAGTGATCAGACACAGAGTCGTTTAACATCCTCGACCTGGAGAGGCAGGTTTCACAAACATAGTGCGAAACTGCTCCCACCGACACGTTGTAGATCCGACCTTCTACAGCCAGACTAACATCACGAAAGCACCAAAGATGGTCCAGATCGCTATGAGCCTCTCTGGTTATCACTTGTGTGAATTGATCTCATCAAAGTATTTCTAAATACCTGATACTTTTTGCAAGCAAGATCAACAGAAAAATACAGAGTTCCACAATTTTTTTAAAATGCCGAGTGAACATATATATATAGGAGGAATTTTCTATTTCTTTTTAATTTAACAATATATAGAGCAATACTGTTGACATTCATAAATTTATGTCGCTCGGTGTATTTTCTTGTTTATTTTTAGCTATGATTGGACATGTTTAGAGTGTAAACGGTGTGTGGAATGTAATGATTCAGGTCAAGAAGATCAAATGATGTTTTGTGATCGTTGTGATAGGGGTTATCATGCATTTTGTGTTGGTTTAGGACGAATTCCTAATGGAAATTGGGAATGTTTATTATGTGAATCATTGCCAACTCCGCCTAGGAAAGGACGTCCTAGAAAAAATAGACCTAAAGACTCGGATGATTTACCATGGGGTTATAGTGTGAAGAAACCACGTAAATCAATATTGAAGCGGAAAATTTGTCAAACACCAGGTGTCAATGATACCAAAGACACATCTTTAGCATATAGTTCTTATCCATACGGTAGCGTCCAACCAATAGTCCCTGGTACTGAATTAGTACCTAAACGACGTCGAGGCCGTCCTCCGACAAAAAATCGCGTTATTGTATCTCTTCCACCCCCGTCTTCTCCATATTTTTCGAATCCAACCAACTTTAGTCCTACTCGTTCAGATGTTTCTATACCCCTACCAACCTCTCCGCCTACACCATTATCGATCAAAGTGTCTATGATTGAAAGTGAACCTTCAGGACTATGTCCAGTTAACGCCATTTCAACTAAAATAGAATCCTTTGTTGCGGAAAAAGTTGATATTTCTGAAAAGTCTGAAAATTTAAAACCGGATAACAATGATAGTATTATTAATAATAGTAGTACGGTCGATCAAACTGAAAATGACATTGTGAAACATGTTGGTGAAATGCAGATTCCTTCTTCAACAAATTCATCTGAATCAAATAATATTGAAAACTGATTATTCATTTAAACTGTTAACCATCTTTTACCCTCCAGACTTGTATATTTATCCATTGTACTTAAAATTCCCTAGTTTCATTTTTAATAACTAGTTTTAGTTATCTTTCTTTCCATGTATTTGTAATAATGAAATTTATATTCTATATTTCAAATATGGTTGAATTTCTGAAATATATTTATTGTTATAAGTCAGTTATTTTGTTTGTTTATGGATTATTTATTTATTTATTTAAACATAAACATTGGTACAAAGGAGCATCGAATAAATATGCGTCACACAAGTCACTTGATTGGTGTATGGACTGTTATATGGCCCGTGTGCCCAGACCGATTCAAGTGGTTTTCTTATGGGGCTACATCCGGAGCCTTCGACCTAATGGTCTGATCCACAAGGCAGTGGAACAACGTAAAGAGATCCCGTTCCATGGTGACCGGTGACCAAAGATTGGTTCGTACTCTATTTGTTCCTTGAGGATCCTAAAGTCAGCCCATGTGCACCATTGGTTTGGAATCAGTGTTTTCCAACTGCCCTAGGTAGGTCCTACACATCCACCAACCCGGTTAAAGCACCGTAAATTCGTTTTTGGTCCTCCTAATTTGGTAAACAACACTCGTGGTGCGAGGAGGCAGTGAGTAGGACTTCCCTGGTAGTGGTTGTATCGGTGTTGTCATGTAAGAGCATTTCGAGAGAGACGGGGGGTGACTAACTTTCCCTACCCTCGGCCGTAACAGGGCATTTGGGGGTTTATAGTTATCAGTATGAGTTATTTGTGGAGATTGTAGTGTTTTCCCAGTTGTAAACACAAGTCTATTTAAGTTAAACCAATATATTGGTTTTCAATAGTGGACAAAAAGGCTATCCAATGCTTCTAGGTTTTCAATGGTAATCTAGCTTAGATTGACTTGTGATTTCAATTATGAAAAGATTTATTGATACCAGTTAAATATTTAAAAAAAATCATGAAGTTCAACGAAAGGACCTCTTTCCAAGTAATTTATTATCAAACTGTACAATCATATATTAATATGTATTAATTCTGTAAAGACATAAAGAAAGAATGAACATGATTATTTTATAAATAGATTATAATACTAGATTATATACTGTCGTATAATTTCTACAAGGCATGTGTAATTAATAAGAGTGTGAAATTAATTATTGAATTCTAGTGTGAATAAAGTGAAATAATTAAAATACTGTTAAAGGTATGTTATAATTTGTGGCCTATATGCCCTGTTAATGTATAGTGTGATGATACAGCTGATTAGAGAGCGGTGAATTATCGATCGAACCAGTGACGCATAAAACACGTTCGAGTAGCCTAGAGTCCTTATTGGTCTCGGTCCCTGTCTAGTCTAGCTAGTGAAGTCCAGAACACCAATCTCAGCCTCTGCAATATGAATCATTTATTTCAAGCGTACTGGGTTTATATATTAATCAGACAGACCACATCGTACCATAACATAGGAAACAACATTTGTGCAAGATTTAGCGAAAAGCGGTTTTGAATGTAGGAGGTAGTGATTAATAGACAAGGCATAACTCAAGAATGGTAAATTGTATAATAATAGTTCATAGGTCAATATAAAGCTCATAATAAGAGGGACATGAATATGAATAGTTTAGTTATTTAACAATTATACAATAAAAATATACTTTTAGTAATGGTCTATAAATGAATTCCAAAAGTTACCGTTCATTATTCTCATCGGGTATAACAAGACAATAGAGAGGGGTTAAATGAAGTGAAGTAATGTCAGAAACAATTATAAGTAAAATCATAGGGATATTAGAAGTAATTAGAGAGTGAGGACATTTTTTTCACTTACAAAATCAATGAGATGAAAATAATGTTATGTTAAGGTTATAGTAAAGACGAGGATAAGCAGATACTTCTTTCTCACACAGAGTTCCTGCTTCGTTTCATACATAGCAGAAAGTTTTGTTATTCGAAGGAGAAATCTCGGTCGATGTAGATGAATCTTACAAGCTACCTTAAAATCGATTTGTGGATTAGTTAAGTGATTAGAGTTGACTAAATGTTCAGGGATAGAACCAACTAGTTTCCTCTCACCCTTGTCGAACTATACTGAGATATGTTCTCGTATGCGTGTTGAAAGTATACTTTGACTACGATCTATGTACCTTGCTCTACAGGAATAGGTAAACTGGTAGATACACATAAAGGCGATCAGATGAGTGAGCTTTATCCTTTACGGATACGAAAAACAAGTTTCTGGTTGTAAATGTTAATTTGAGTTTAGGTGCATAGGACATTGTTCTAATTGTTAAAGATAACCAATTCTTAGGTTGATTATAAGTTGTTTCACTTTTAAATATTAGATTCATATAAAAATATTTACTTGGAACGGAATTTCAGGAATCCTTGTTTCAAATTTATTGTATGTTCTTATTTAAGAAATAGCTTGGATAGTCGTTTCCAGTTGACTTTTTTTTCTGAGAAAAGCAAATTCTTTCTCAATACCACAGATCTTACATATTCGGTAACATGAAGAGTGAACAATATTTCTCTTTCTACTTAAAATAATCCAGCTATGGAATTTGGCTATTATTCACACCATATAATGTTGTGTTGTAATATTTCTGTTACATTATCGTGTTTAGTTATAATGAATATTTTCTCACGGAATTAATACATAAAATTTTACATACACGTATCTACTATTGTTTGAATAATTTGTTTCTGGTTAGCGTTTTTTTTAGCAAGTTAGTTTTCTACGGGATGGGGTCGCTAACCCCATGTCCAATCCTCCTCCTTTATCCGAGCTTCGGACCGGCAGTAGCCCCCGGAGGGACTCCAGGCGGAGTTGACAAACATGGTGGGTCTGATGCAGATGTGAAAGCGCGGATCGGTAAAGCAAGAACAGCATATTTACAACTGAAGAACATCTGGAACTCAAAACAACTGTCAGTCCACATCAAGGTCAGGATTTTCAATACAAATGTCAACACAGTTCTACTGTATGGGGCGGAAACTTGCAGAACTACTAAGCCATCATCCAGAAGATATAGATGTTTATTAACAGTTGTCTACGCAAAATACTTCGGATCCGTTGGCCGGACACTATTAGCAACAACCAACTGTGGGAAAGAACAAACCAGATCCCAGCGGAGGAAGAAGTCAGGAAGAAGCGCTGGAAGTGGATAGGACACACATTGAGGAAAGCACACAACTGCGTCACAAGACAAGCCCTCACATGGAATCCTCAAGGCCAAAGGAAAAGAGGAAGATCAAAGAACACATTACGCTGGGAAATGGAGATAGACATGAGAAAATTGAACAAGAATTGGATGGAATTAGAAAAGAAGGCCGAGGACAGAGTGGGTTGGAGAATGCTGGTCTGCGGCCTATGCTCCTTTAGGAGTAACAGGAGTAAGTAAGTGTTATATCCGAGCGAAGATTAAATTACAGGTAACTCCCGAGGTCTATTAATGGACAAATATTCTATAAATATTCTTATTGTAAAACTATTGAATAATTAGATTATGTAAATTTATATCCCTCTTATTATAAGCTTTATTTTGATCTATAATTTATTATTCTACGATTTACGGTTCTTTATCTATGTTCAGTCTATTAATTACTATCTCCCGCGTTCACAGCCACTTTTGGCTTATTTGTGTACATATGTTATTTTTCTAATTTATGGTGTGTTGTGGTCTGTCTGTTTGATATATAAACCGAGTATGTTTGAAATAAACGATCTGCCCTAATTCGAAGCTGGTATTGTATTCTGGACTCAAGTGGAAGGGCTCGTAGTACATAGGACCAATAAGGACGCTAGACTGCCCACACCGGTTGAACGTCATTGGTTGGCCTAGTGTGAAGTTCGCATAAGTCGTATCCGGATTGGTAGATAGGTCGCGAGATAGCGAAACCAGACATACCCAAGGTCATAACAATTGGCGACGGGGATTTTGGAAAAAAAATACAAGTGGTGACTCAGATTTTGAAAATAAATTAGCTGTTATAATTGCCGGTGATTTGTTTGGAATTAATATTATTATTAGCAGTGAGAAGAAAAATGGCAAATTCTTCAGAACAGTTGCAGTTATTAATACAGCAGCAGCATCAAATGTTAGCTTCGCAACAAAAACTATTGGAAGCACTTTTGGGAAAACTATCTATCCAACAAGAGATTCCAGAACATAAAAGTATCGACTCATACCTTAATCCAGTTTCAGAATTTATATTTGATGCAGACAATGGTCGCACTTTCGAAGCATGGTTTGGCAGAATTGAAGATATTTTCCGAGTTGAATTTGCTGCGATAGATGATGCAAAGAAAGTCCGTCTGCTATTACAGAAACTTGGTCCTAATGAGCATCAAAAGTATAAAAATCATATCCTGCCTAGACATCCGCGAGAAGTTAATTTCGATGAAACTGTTAACATCCTAAATAAAATGTTTTGTGAACAGTCGTCTTTATTCCGTATCCGGTATAACTGTCTACAGCTGACTAAAGAGGCTGATGAGGATTATACTACGTACGCCGGAAGAGTAAATTTACAAGCAGAACGATTTAAATTAAATGTGTTAACCAGTGATCAATTTAAATGCTTATTATTTATTTCTGGTCTGAACTCTCCTGTTGGTGCTGATTTTCGCATGAAGTTGTTATCTCGTATGGAACATGATGATGAAATGACGTTACAAACTATCACCACTGAATGCCAACGATTAATTAACTTAAAACAAGATACAGCTATGCTGGAAACCAAAAGTGCTGCACCATCTAATTCTGTTCATGCTGTTAAAACAGGTCAAAGACAAAATACTAACAAAAGTCATAAATATTACTCGAAAACTCCTAAACCTGCAACTAAATGTTGGTATTGTGGTGCGTGGCATTTCTCAAGATTTTGCCGGTTTAGAAATCATAGATGCACTATATGCAATAAAGTTGGCCACAAAGAGATGGTCTGCCGAACTAGAGAAAGTTTGAGATCAAAACGAAACAGACGTCCGCATCAGTACCAAAATAAGTATATAAACAGCGTATATTCTACATTGGCTCTAAGCGTAGCGGATAAAAGAAGATATGTGGAATTAATTGTTAATGGTGTTCATATTCGATTGCAATTGGACACAGCGTCAGATATCACACTAATCTCGAAACGAACGTGGTATTTAATTGGGTGTCCGAAAGTATTACCAACAGAGCACACTGCACGGAATGCGTCCGGAGATATATTAAAACTTGTGGGAATGATAAAATGTTCTGTTAAATTCCAAGGTAATTACTTTACAGGAAATTGTTACTTAACGAACAGACATGAGTTAGACCTTATTGGTATAGACTGGATAGATAAACTGAATTTATGGGATGTACCATTAAATGAAATATGCATAATGAAAAGCACGAATAATCCTAGAGATCCACCCACAGTTCATGTTACCAAGAAAGTTGTAACGATAGAAGATCTTTTGCAGAAACATAAAAACTTGTTCCAGAATAAATTGGGATGCTGCACAATTGAGAAGGCAAAATTATACCTACGACAGGATGTAAAGCCTGTTTTCCGTCCAAAGCGTCAAGTTCCATATGCAGCTATTGATAAAGTCGACAAAGAATTAGACCGACTAGAGAAGCTCGGTGTTATACAACCTGTTAATTATTCGGCATGGGCAGCACCGATTGTAGTAGTTCAGAAAGCGAGCGGAGCTATTCGCCTTTGTGCAGATTTTTCAACAGGATTAAATGACGCTTTACAAAATCATTCATACCCATTACCTTTGCCAGAGGATTTATTTATTAAACTGAACGGTGCACGTTATTTTGCTAAACTTGATTTGTCTGAAGCTTACTTACAGGTGGAAGTTGATGAAGATTCAAAAGAGTTATTAACCATTAATACTCACCGTGGACTTTATCGATTTAACCGATTACCGTTTGGTGTTAAGCCAGCTCCGGCAATTTTCCAGCAGATAATGGATACTATGGTGTCTAACGTCGAAGGTGTAGCAGTTTACTTGGACGATATTATAGTTGTTGGCTCTTCCACGCAGGAATTAATGCGTCGGTTAGATGTGGTGCTCACTAAAATATCACAAGCCGGTTTTCAGTTACAAAAAGAGAAGTGTGATTTTCTGCTCGAGTCTGTCAAATACCTTGGATATATATTTGATAAAGATGGTCGTCGACCGGATCCAGATAATATAAATGCTATCAAAAGTATGCCCAGACCAACTGAAGTTACAACCCTTCGTTCATTCTTGGGGATGATTGGTTATTATAGTATGTTCGTACCCCAAATGTATAAATTGCGACACCCATTAAATCAACTCTTGATGGCTAATACAACATGGCACTGGACAAAAGAATGCCAAGATTCTTTCGATGAAATAAAAAGGATTTTATCTTCTAAACTGTTGCTGACTCATTATAATCCTAACCTTGAAATAATTGTAGCCGCCGATGCTTCAAACTATGGAATCGGAGCTGTTATTAGCCATCGTTTTCCTGATGGCAAAGAAAAGCCAATTGCTCATGCATCCCGAACTCTTAACTTAGCTGAGCGGAAATATAGTCAGATTGAGAAAGAAGGACTAGCTTTAGTTTTTGCAGTAAAGAAATTTCATAAAATGATTTATGGTCGTCGATTTACCCTTTTAACGGACCACAAGCCGCTCTTATCTATATTTGGATCAAAGTCTGGTATTCCCGCGTATACAGCAAATCGATTACAACGCTGGGCTATCACGTTGCTTGCTTATGATTTCCAAATCCTATATAAATCAACTGAAAAGTTTGGACAAGCCGATGCTTTATCCCGATTAATCGCGAATCAGAAGCAAAAAAGCGAAGATTCTATCATCGCAACGATATCGTTAGAAAATGATATTCACCATATACTGCAAGTTGCCATAAAAGCAACGCCGTTATCTTCTGAAGATATTAAACGCTATACCCAAGAAGACGATGAATTGAAGCAGATTGTTAGATACCTCGAACATGGTTGGCCTGCCCATATAGACGACAAAAATATTGAACAGTATTCCCACCGGCGAAATTCTCTATCACTTGTGGATGGATGCTTGATGTTTGGAAATCGAGTAATTGTTCCCACAAATTTACGCCGTAAAGTGATGTCACAACTGCATGCCGCACACCCAGGGGTAGCACGGATGAAGGCGCTTGCACGTGGGTATGTATATTGGCCGAACATTGACGCTCAGATCAAAGAATATGTTGAGAGGTGTTCTGCGTGTGCAAAAGCTATCAAAGCCCCTCGGAAGACAGAAATGCAGAGTTGGGGGACACCAACAAAACCGTGGTCAAGAGTACATGTGGATTTTGCCGGTCCCATAAACGGGAAACAGTACTTGGTGATTGTTGATGCTTTCTCAAAATGGCCAGAGATCCACTACGTTAAGTCGCTTTCGACAAAAGCTACTATCGATAAACTGAGACAAGTATTTAGCTGCTTCGGGTGTCCAGATGTATTAGTATCTGATAATGGACCACAGTTCACCTCTGCTGAATTCTCGAAGTTCTGCGTCGTCAACGCCGTTAAGCATATAAAGACACCCCCATACCATCCGCAATCAAACGGTCTAGTCGAGAGGTTCGTAGATACATTTAAAAGAGCAATACTTAAAGCCGAGGGGGAAGGTGAAATAGACGAGACGATTCAAAGATTTCTACAAACATACCGAGCAACACCAAACCCAACAACAAATAATCAAGAAAGCCCAGCAGAAGCAATTTTTGGAAGAAAGATTAGAATACCTATAGAACAAATGAAGCCGAAACCTAAAGCCAACCTCCACAAGAACAGACGAATGGAACAGCAATTCAACAAGCGGCATGGTGCATTGCCCAGAAGGTTTAAGGTAGGACAAGCGGTAATAACAAGAGATTTCACGGGAGTAAAGCCAACTTGGAAGTTTGGCATAATAATACGAAAAAAAGGGAAAGTTATCTACGAAGTAAAAGTTGGACAAAAGATATGGGTACGACATGCAAACCAGATACAGCCAACCAGACAAGAGCGGGAGACGGAAAATGCTACAAAGTCAAATATACCAATAAATATATTAACTGAGTCGAATAGTGAAATTAAAAATGATCCGAATAATAACAAGACGTATGCAACATTCCCAAGGAGGTCGCAGCGCATCAGACGAAAACCTAATCGAATAAAAATAAATCCTAAGGATCATTATTATCTCTAATGCTTCAAAAAAGGGGAGGTGTTATATCCGAGCGAAGATTAAATTACAGGTAACTCCCGAGGTCTATTAATGGACAAATATTCTATAAATATTCTTATTGTAAAACTATTGAATAATTAGATTATGTAAATTTATATCCCTCTTATTATAAGCTTTATTTTGATCTATAATTTATTATTCTACGATTTACGGTTCTTTATCTATGTTCAGTCTATTAATTACTATCTCCCGCGTTCACAGCCACTTTTGGCTTATTTGTGTACATATGTTATTTTTCTAATTTATGGTGTGTTGTGGTCTGTCTGTTTGATATATAAACCGAGTATGTTTGAAATAAACGATCTGCCCTAATTCGAAGCTGGTATTGTATTCTGGACTCAAGTGGAAGGGCTCGTAGTACATAGGACCAATAAGGACGCTAGACTGCCCACACCGGTTGAACGTCATTGGTTGGCCTAGTGTGAAGTTCGCATAAGTCGTATCCGGATTGGTAGATAGGTCGCGAGATAGCGAAACCAGACATACCCAAGGTCATAACAGTAAGTAAGTAATCTACTATTGTGCAGACTGATATTCAGTTTGTTAGGAAGAGATTTCTTTGTTGAATTTCATGTTTTTAATTGTTAATTAAGTTTGTCATAGCTTATGAAAAGGTACACTTCCCTGATCATATTTAATTAGCAAGATTTCTGTTTATTAACCCAATGAAGTTACGTACAGCAGTTCGCTCTCTTTAAGATAATAAAGGGAACTATGTGCATGATATTTCTCAAAATGCGTCTCCCTGCACAGTCATTCAAGTCACTGATACGCCTGGTGACAATACGCTGCAGAATATCGAGAGAAATTACTCGACTTAAGTTTTTTGATGAATGTCTCAAGTCATGCCGTTTCCACGTCAGTTCTTAAAGTCTTTACGCTCATTTAAACTTCCGCCTTCTCTTAAAAATCTTCGACGCATCACAAAATCTCACATTGAATCAACAAATTTACTGATTGAACGTTTGAGGGCAGAAACTAATGCCTTTGATGAATTAATCAACGATCGTATATCGCATAAAATTTATCAACTTTATACAAGATCTGCAAAGCAAAATATGCAAGAATTTCCACGTAACTTTGTCAAAGACTCTGTCAAAGGGACACTTATGTTTTGGTTTTCCGGAAAACCCAGAAAAATTTCTCTATAATCTATCAACAATGAAGTTAAATCAGATAGAAACAGAAGCCTTGTCACTTGGATTTAACTTTCATATCCCCAAAACACTTCTCGACAGAATCGACACAGAAACTCAATTTGAGAATTTATTTAATCAAATTAAAGAGCTGCACCCAGTTAGTCAAGAAAAGAAAGGCTGGTTTAAATCTAAACTAGTCGATATTGCAAACCAATATCTTGTTTCATCCGCACCACAGTCTAAGCTTTTATTCAAAGACCACCAAACAGCATTACGAAATATTAAACGAAATGACGATATAATGATATTACGGTCAGACAAAGGCTCAAGTGTTGTTCTAATGGACAAAACAGATTATGTCTCTAAGATGAAGTCCATCTTGAATGACCATATGAGATTCAAGTTATAAAAAAGTAACAAAGACTTAACTGATTCCGTTGAGAAAAGAATCACCAAAGTACTCAGAGATCCTCTGAAAAAGAAGATGATCGATAACTCTACTAACAATAATCTACGACCTCGTGGGTCTCGTTTGTCCCACATGTATGGATTACCGAAAATACATAAACAAGGTTATCCTCTTAGACCTATTTTGTCAATGATCAATTCACCATACCACAAAGTTGCACGGTGGTTGGTAGATAAGTTAGAACCAATGCGTCAACGATTAACTATACACTAAAGGATTCATTTGTATTTGCTGATAGCATGAATCACATAAATATTGCTGGTAAGTTTATGGTTTCTTTTGATGTGACATCATTGTTTACAAAAATACCACTTCTTGAAACCATAGACATAATTTGTCAGAATCCTGACATCCTACCTCTACCAGCAATAGAATTCAAACGACTATTACTCATGTGTACAAAAGATGTTCAGTTCCAATTCAACAATACTATATACCGACAAACCGATGGTGTAGCAATGGGAAGTCCGTTAGGCTCTGTCCTAGCAGACATTTTCATGGCTAACCTCGAAAGAACCGAGCTCAAAGGATCGATTGATGAAATGATGTATTATTCGAGGTATGTTGATGATACCTTCATCGTATGTAATAATCAACAACATGTAATAAATCTGCTACAGTTTTTCAACGAAGCCCATCCAAATATCCATTTCACTATGGAACATGAAAAAGAAAACAAGTTCCATTTTCTCGATATCGCTATGAAACGAAAAAAGGATGGTACAGTTCAACGTTCAGTTTATAAGAAAGACACATGGAATGGTAGTTATCTCAATTTCAATAGCTTTTGTCCAATCAGTTACAAAAAGGCACTGGTCAAAACACTTTTACAGAACAGAAAGAATATGTACTTCCGATACACTAGAAGAGGAAGTTATGAATGTTAAAAAATGTTTAAAGAATAACGGATACCCACTGAAATTTATTGAGAAATATGGCAGACGTGAAGATAAAAAAAACCCAAAGAAATTACAGCAAATAAAAAGCCTACTTTTATTCAACTTCAATTCAAAGGTGACGATGTCACAGTATCAATCAATATGAGAGTAGAAACTGCACTGACAAGAACTTATCCTGCAGCGAAATTGATTGTCCTGTCCAAAACAACATGTTCTTTGACACAATCAAAGGTTGACAGGTATCCCTTTCATGTTACCACCAACTGTGTATACAAATTTACATGTATCTGCCAAAACAGTTACATTGGTAGAACAGAAAGGAGAGCCTACGTCCGATTCAAAGAACATATTTCGACAAGTTTAAGGTTAAATGGATTAAACGCATTCAACAGTGCCATCGCAAGACATCTCCTTGATACAGGATATGAAGTTGATATACTGAAGTCCTTCAATGTGATTAACAAACAATCAAACTCCAACCTTTTGAAATTTTCTAAAGCAATAGCAATCAAACGTTTAAAACCAGATCTATGTATACAAAAAGAGACAGTAATAAATCTTTCTTTACCCTGGTAACAACAACCCCCACCCTTTCTATTCATTTGCTTCTATTTGTTTATTTATTGCGTCATTATTGCAACTCCTTCTGAAGTTTACATCATACATAAATGATTGGTTTTAATTCATATTTTCTTTATTACTATTAATCTACTTTCATGAGTTCTAATCACTATTTCAATGTTCCAGAACTTTCCCTCTCTAACTTTATTTATTTATTCATTCGAATCAAACATTTTATGAGCCCATTAACTCTGTCGGAATCTTCGCTACATCATGATACATATGCATTCATCCTTAATCACACTCTTATGTATAACAAATGTCAATATCTGTAATAATGTTGAATTTCAAATAATTTAGGTTGTAAGCAGCTGATGAGAACCTAACGAAATCAAATGAATTCATAGATTATTCTGCACCAATCTTTGTTCTTGCTCTCTTTAAGTTCTCTTTGTATTATTATTGTTTATATTACATGAGATATAAAGGTAGGAAACCTGTATAGACTGTTTGTAATTGTCTTTGTAACGCCACTAAATAAGTAATACTGAGGTTATATGTAGTTTTGTGCAGAAGTTGTGATTTCAACGGTTATGCTGCTCAGGTTCATATCCTGCTCGCGACGAACTTTACCCCCAAATGCCTTGGTACGGTCGAAAGTGTGAAGAGTCAGCCACGCGTATATAGCCTCTGCCAGGGAAGTTCTACTCACTGCCTTCTCGCACCATGAGTGTTGTTTACCTAATTGAGAGGACGAAAAGCGAATTTCAGGTGCTTTAACCGGGTTGGTGGACATGTGGAGTCCAGGGAAAAAATAGAGTATTGACTAATCTTTGGTCACCGGTTACCATGGAACTGCATCTCCTTACATTGTTCCATTGCCTTGTGGATCAGACCATTAGGTCGAAGGCTCCGAGTGTGACCCCATAAGAAAACCACCTGATCCGGTTTGGGCACCCGGGCATTATAACAGTTCATACACTAATCAAGTGACTTATGTGACGCATATATATTTGGTGCCTCCTTGCACCAATATCTATGTGTCCAAACAAGTAATATTATTTATTAAGTCGGAACATATGTTGTGCCTACTTAGTTGACGTTTACTTTGACTTCCTATATTAATTAACTCGCAAGTAAATCAGAAAGAATCTAGCGATGGTTGAATCAGGAAATAACATTATTAAAACTATTTTGAACAGCGTTAACATTATTTATAGTTATAACTCTTATATAAATATAGTGCTGTAAATATCGCTTATATTTAATCTATCCGACTGATTAGATTTAATTGATGAACCATTTTCTTATTGCTTTTATAAAGTCATGTAAGTGGTCAAATCATTGACATGAAGTTTTGATATTGTTACTGTCACTGTTCATCAATCATTTGTAGTGTCGGTTATTATGTTATAGCCATACATATTATTCTAGCTTTCGGACAGCCCAGTCTGTTCATTCTACTTGAGTCACATTTTGACCTTGTTAATTATTTGCTTATCAATCTTCACTGTTTTTATATGAGCACGTAGGTGTGTGTACACTTCTTTTTACACCATTATTCATCACA